TCTGATTACAAATATTCAATGTGGTTTTCGTAAAAACCGCAGTACTATTGATCATCTAGTACGTTTAGAATCTTTCATAAAAAATGCGTTTGTTTCTAAACAACATGCTGTATCTATCTTTTTTGATTTAGAAAAAGCGTATGATACCACATGGAAGCATGGCATTTTGAAAGATCTACATGACTTTGGTTTGAGAGGCCGCTTGCCTTGTTTTATATCCCAGTTTTTAACAGACAGACAATTTCAAGTTCGTGTGGGGTCTACCCTGTTTGACCATTACAATCAGGATCAGGGTGTCCCACAAGGCAGTATTTTGTCTGTCACTTTATTTAGTATTAAAATAAATAGTCTTTCGAAGGTTTTAAATAATTCAGTTGATGGATCACTTTTTGTGGATGATTTCAATTTATCATGTCGTGGTAAAAATATGCATACCATTGAGAGACAACTGCAACTGTGTCTCACAAAAATTCAGAAATGGTGTCTTGAAAATGGTTTTAGGTTTTCCAAATCCAAGACAAACTGTATACATTTCTGTCGTCAATATAAACCTCATAAGGATCCGGAGCTGTATTTAGATGGTACTGCAATTAAAATGGTAGAGGAAGCCAAATTTTTGGGGTTAATATTCGACAGACATTTAACCTTTCTACCACACATTAAATATCTTAAAGCTAAATGCCTGAAGGCCCTTGATCTGCTAAAAGTTGTCTCAAATACAAATTGGGGTGGGGATCAAACAACTCTCCTTCATTTGTATCATTCACTTATCCGGTCAAAACTTGATTATGGCTCCATTGTATATGGTGGAGCCTGTAAAAGTAATTTAGAAAAGTTAAATACAATACACCATCAAGGACTACGGCTCTGCCTAGGAGCATTTAGAACATCTCCTGTTGACAGCTTATACACAGAGGCTGATGAACCTTCTCTTCAACAACGCCGTATAAAATTATCACTACAATATATCACAAAATTGGCTTCCAATCCTTCAAACCCAGCATATGACTGTGTATTCAATCCCCCTTTTGGGGACCTGTTCAATCGTAAGCCGCATCTCGTTCCACCACTTGGGATTCGTATACAACCGCATGTCATTGCTGCTAATATAGATTTAGATTTAATCACTTCTTATCGACTACTGTCTACTCCTCCTTGGCAGTTGGTCAGACCAGTAGTGGACCTTTCACTCACTCAATTCAAAAAATCTGACACAAATGATTTAGAATACCAACAGGAATATTTACAATTACGCCGCAAATATGATTCCCATCGTTCAATCTTCACGGATGGATCCAAGGATAGTGGTAAAGTTTCCAGTGCCACTATCATTGGATCAAAAACCATATCTACTAGAATCCCAGACAATAGCTCCATTTTCACTGCTGAGGCAAACGCTATAAAAACAGCCTTGGACTTTATTCAACATCAATCTAACAGTAACCAATTTATCATTTTTTCTGATTCTCTTTCATGCCTTCAAGCACTAAACAATGTCTCTCTCAATCATCCATATATTCTTGACATTTTAGAATTATACAATGATCTGTCTACTAGCCAATGCGACATCATATTTTGTTGGTTACCAAGCCATGTTGGCATCGTGGGCAATACAAAAGCTGACGCTGCAGCTAAAGCTGCCCTTGAAAAGTCTGTCTCTAATATTCTGATTCCACACTCTGATTTTAAATCTTGTATAAAAGATTATATCTGACATTTAAGGCAAACAAAGTGGAATACCCAGTTAGGTATGAATAAACTGCATGCAATAAAACCTACTCTTGGATATACCTACTTGGGTTGCCAGTCACGACACGATGAAGTTGTTTTACGACGATGTCGCATTGGCCATAGCCGTTATACCCATGAATATTTGCTTAAAGGTGAAGATCCTCCGTTTTGCATCCCTTGTGATGAGAGAATTTCAATCAAGCATATTTTGCTTGATTGTATAGACTTTTCTCTCACAAGGGATTCTTATTATCATTCAACGTCTTTAAAGGATCTTTTTAATAATATCAACGTTCATTTAATTCTCGGATTTTTAAAAGAAATAGCGTTATTTGATAAATTTTGAATTTTGAATTGTTTTAAATTAGTCTGATATTATTAACAACTGATATTATTGAAGGCGGTGCTACTCAGGGGGTTAAAGTAGCATAAAATTATTGTCCTCTTGACTCTGGCACGCAAGTCCATCTAAATAAAAGTGTGTAATATCAACTAGTGTTTTAACTACTTGACTATGGTTTGATCTTTTAATATTGGTTAGCATTGAAGATGACCAATTGTGACCAAAGTGATGACATAAATCCTGCTGGGAATCATGCAGGTAGCAAAGGCACTGTAAGTCCCCATGATCCCCAGTTAGGTGGTCTAACTTTGGTTGCCAGAGGTATATAGCCCAGTTTTAACTTGTACCAAATCTACTGAAGAATTCTTTGTTTTTATTGTGAACTGGTTTGTTTTATACCTTAACTGTGATACATGACTTACTGTTTTACTGTCCTTTGTCGACGGATATTTAATCATAATTAACTTGTTTTCATCGCAATATGGCTGCAATATTGCCGATGCGATGTAAAATTTTAACTCACTCACTCACTCGATCCAATTAAAAGTAGACAGTTCGTATTCTGAACCATCTAATTTGCGTGTCGAAATTAAAAAAATTTCAAACTTCTTCTCATTTTAGCTTTCATCTATGAATTTGTGAATTCATGTCAAGTTTACTCCTGTTCATTTTTTTCATTTTCATTGGCAGTGTTGATCGTGTTGGAGCACGAGGAACAGTTTCTGGCTACACTCGTGATATGAATATTGGAACTTCAATCTGGCCGTGTGCAGTTTAAAGAAGTTAAGTTATACGAATAACGCTCCCTGTCAGATCTCCGTTCACTTCAACGGGGTGATTTATTTTGACAGGTGTCAAATGGTCAGTCATGTGTGTTTACAACAACGCAGACGTTGTTTTTTTTTTTTTTATTGCGTTTATTGTAAACTGCAAATCAGGTGAAATAAATTCTTTGTTGATTATAATGTAAAATCATATCGTTGATATGAAACTATATCTCTTTTCTTAAAATCTCTAATCAGTGCATCATATTTATTAGAGGCTATTTTAAGAGTATTAGAGGCTATTTTAAGAGCGACGACTTTTAACATAAATATCACAAGGGGCGTTCTGAGTAATCCTCATTTCAGGATGTCAAGTGGGTGATTTTATGTTATTATCGTGGAGTATCCTATGTGGTCATCAAGTATAAATAGTGTCCATGTACTCTATCTCTTCCGCGAGGGTAACAATTTGTAAGATAATGTGGAAGGTATGTTCCCCGTGAAACACGACGTTCGTACAATATGACCGTCACTCTATAAAGAGTGTTGCATGGTGGCATAACATCGTTACTCAAAAAGAAGGGCGACATGAGCGTATGTATGATCAACGTGCTCTACAGGAACATTAGTTGTAATTTGTTTACAACTAATGTATTCAAATAATGTCATCAATGAAGGAGAATGGTCTCCCCTAGTACGTCAATCACATTGACATCGCGTCGTAATACATTTACATCAAGTACAAGACGTGAAAAGTGCCAACAGATAAACGTGACGGGAGAGATTTTCAAAGTTGTTTAGAACCTGTGCCGGTTACATGTGTAGTCATTATTGATCATTTGGCCGATCATTGAAGGGTGATTATGAAGATGTGTCAAACAGATGCTAAGATAAATTCATAGATTGCCGTAGACTGTAACTGTCAGTCTATAAACGGCCAGAGTCGAACTACAATAGTTTGGGTGTGCATGTCTTCGTTCTGTTCAATAGCAGTCAATCTCTATGAAGTTTTTTAATGTATGCTAAAGCGCTGAATTCAATATTAAAGGGTCTCAATGATTGGAAACAACGCTTGTCTATATATTCGTGCTGGGGAATTCCCAGGGTTTTTCCCAGGAATGTTGAAGTAGTCCGAAAGTGTTATTGTCATTTCAAAAATATAGTCTAGTCGTGAAAAACGTTTGGACGTCAAACTGTGTCAGTCATACACTTACGAACGTCAATTTCGCGGTCATGTTACTGACTTCTCGTCAAATGGAAAAACCTTGTATCCTGTAAAATGTACGTATTAATTTCTTAACATTTGGCAAAATAATTACAATTTCTAAGATATATTTTGGCCTTCCACACGATCCCAATGTTCTTACCATCGGCGATACCTCCTTTAAGAAACAAATGTTGTTTTGGGTTTTTTGTGATGTTTAGAAGCAGTTAGCAATGTGCAAGCCTTTTTCAAGTCTTTCTCATTTGCGATTTTGTGTTTTATATAAACAGCGAATCGGATGACCAACATGTATGAATGGTTATATGTTTGTGTATACTAAAGAGCAATTGGGGTGTGCGGAAGTACACCACGTAACAAGGAGAAAGCTCAACGTTGATGCTTACAGTTTGTTACATTTGTGTTGGGTAATCTCACCAGGAATAGCTGTTGGTACTTTGACACCATGCTCACTTTATCCCATTATAAAGTAGAATTTCGAAGGAGGATGGCCAAAAGTTGATTGTACAAAAACATCTACAACGACAGAAGTTTAAACCTGGTCATAATGCATGAAGTCACGTTTTGCTTTTCTTTCTTGTGTGATTGTAGAAGCGATTTTGAATCACTTTGCATTAGAATTTAAGAAGTTCCAAAGGCATAACAGAAAGACGTTGATTCAAGATTACTGTTTTCGAAGTTTCAAAATTTCGGTTTGGTACATTTGAAATACACATCCTAAATGCATTGCCGTTTGACCGATCGATGTCATGGATAAAAAGGGGCACTTAAGAGACTTAAAGTGTCTGCAAGATTTCCAGGATAAAGATTCTAAAAAATGTTTCCGCGATCATTTAAGTAATTGCTATTGAAATAACAGAATCAGTTTGACCTTCTTGACAATAGCTTTTCAACTTATTGTATAAGTGATGTATTTTTAACAAACAATATGAAGTCGGAGTAAGGAACAGAAAATTTAATTAATGTAATTGACATGGTTTTTAACTAATTCCAATCATTAGGTTTTCTCGTGTACGTTCAACACAAAAAAGTATTGCGCTCATTGTGCTCTACAAGCCTCGACCCTTTGCATTATTGCAGTGACAGCGTTTGAGTTGTCAACATGGAAAGCATGCTTGTTATCGGGGTCTGATGCAAGTGCACTGATCGTCACATTTCTATTGGCTGTATCGCCTAGTCCCTTCGTATGGACGACGAAAACTTCAGATTTCGCCTGAAGGTAACCAATGTTGGCAGCCACAACCAATTTGTCATCACATGTACCGTCGGCGTCAGTGAAGAAGATGACCATATTGTCAGCGTCTGGTCGGTCACCGTTTCTGCTCGTAAAAACGTCGGCGTTAGCCAGCTTTATGGCCTCACCAATATGTGAACTAGCACCACCTTCATTAGCTTGTGCGTTCACAGCAGCAAGAACAGCTGGTTTGTTGTTAGAGTAGGCATTTAGTTGGAATACCACTCTTGCGTTTACGGAAAATACCATAAAAGCAACATTAATGGCTTTAGAGCTTATCTCAAAAGACCTGAGCATTTGTTGTTCAAATCTTTTCAAGCTGCTATACTGAAGCTTTCCGATTGAGTTAGATGCGTCTTCTACAACCAGGATGTCGAGTTTCCGTTGGCTGCACACTGGAAAAGAAAACATATTATTTCTGGAATGATTGAGTTTTTAACTGCATTTCAGTTATATCCTAACGTGTCAGCTTGATGTAGCTGCCATAGGGATAAAAGCACGAAGTGATGCAGGCCTCAGCGCGGGCATGGTGCTGACAAACCAAGAAACCAAATGTGGGCAAATCCGAGGGGCCCTTGATAATTGGGCATAGGTACATCTCAATAGCATTGTCATCAGTAGATGTGGTTAAGATACCAACGTTGATGTGATGCGACCTGTATACAGTAAAAGTCCCCACAATTGTCAAGATGACTTTGTTAAGTAAAATTAATGATAACTTTGAAACCTTTAAGATAATACGTATCTCTCTTCGTTTGTTCAGTTTTCTTAAAATACCAAAAACTGGAATATACATGTAGGTTATCATTTCTTATGGTAGATTATATGAAATTATACTCCTTGTCTTGTGGTTATACAAAATAAACTTCACTACAGATGTACCAAAGGTCAGTATATGATTTTTGGTATAGAATTAGATACCCGTGGATGAATTAGAGGTGGTTCATTCAGAGACCACAAAAGATGACTTGTGTGTCCGAATGATTGATTAGAAACGGTAAAGCACTAATATCATTCGTGACAGATATTCCCCGCATTCTTGACTATCCATCCTTTTGTTATAACTTATATCAGTATGAGATACATAATGAAATAGCTACAATAAACTTAGTAATCGTCGTGGTCTTTCAGCTATAAAGGCGTGTCATCAAGATGTCCTTTGATGGCCTAAAAGTATTAACAATATTTTTTTATCTATAGTTCCTTGCAAAAATCTCCAACAGTATATGTCCTTTGAAATTACCTCCAATAACACATGTCTGTTTGAAATGATCTCCTTTTGTAAGTTTACATTTATAATTTGGATAACTTATGTGCAAGTGTAGTGTAATGTGTACGTGTAGTGTCTAATTAAAAGACATTAACATCTGCATTTCGAGCGTCCAATCTGCTTGCAAGTACCTCCATTGCGGCAACGTCTTTTATGACACCGACCTTGGCGAAAACAAGAGCAAAAGGTGCTTACTTTACAGATTGTGTTGATTCAACTTATAACATACTGCAGGTCCATAATATCAGAAACCAGATTATCAGGTATAATGTACAAACTTAAGTTCAAACTCCAAATTGCCCACCCAGAGTTTAAGTTCCCACTTGTAAATGAAATCCAACGTATTTTACAAAGTACAGGTCTGAATAACATTTGGCTGTCTCAGGAATTTCCCAGTGTACAATAGATAAAGGCTAACGTCAAAACTGTCCTTAGAGATCAATTTTTACAAAGCTGGAGCCGTAGTAAAGTAAATTCCTCAAAAGGACACTATTATAATCTGTATCAAGATATCCTCTCAGTAGAAGACTACTTGTTGTATTTACTTCATAATTTACGCATCTGGCTTACTAAAATCAGAACCACCAACCACCGGCTCCCAATTGAAACTGGCCGATGGTATAACCTCAATAGGGAAGATAGGCTGTGCTCTCTTTGTAAAAATAAAATTTGTTATGAATTCCATTTTATACTAGAATGCCATGAATTGTATCATTTAAGAAATAAATATCTCCAATTTTATTATGGTAAATATCCAAATACTGAATGACTAATGACTTGTTCTTATAAACCTCTGCTCTTACGACTAGCCCAGTATGTAAAATATGGACTGCGTATGCTCCACTAACTATTGTCTCACTTCTTTGTATATATGTCTCTCTTGTCAACTTCATTATGTGACCTAGTTGATTCATGAGAAATAAAGATCTTCTTCTTCTTCTTCATAATATCAGTCACGGGCATGTTCTTGCTCACTGATAAATATCACCTTGGCTTAAGCAATGACGTCTTTGTCTAGTCGTTGAGATGCACGTAAAGAGCATTATTTAGATTTTCCTTCAATAATCATTTCAACATATTTTAATGACCACAGTGTAAAATAGAGGATTCCATCTCCATAGAAAACATCTCCATTTATAACCATTAGGTTAACATGTTCAACTTCTGTTTTGTCGTATATTGGTGTGAACACTGACGTCTGCGTGCGTGCGCGCGTGTGTGTGTGTGTGTGTGTGGTTGTTGAGAAACATGTTAAATGGAATTTTTTTGATTTCCCATTACCAATTATAATTACAAATCTCTTCATGACAACATTGATATCCATTATGAAAAAGGCAGCGTGTGTACATCCCTTTGGAAAGTACAACTAACCCACATTACAAAGGACGGCAAGACATGTTTCCTTGTTTGCAATGTGTATTTGAAATAGGCGAAACAGTGTAAGATATTTGTTGTTCAACTCATTTAATGGCCTACAAACATTAAATATATATACATTTTTTCATGAATTGCGTTGCATTATCTCAAACAGTATATGACCTTTAAAATTATCCTTAATAAAACATGTCTGTTTGAAAAGATTTCCTTTTGTCAGTTTACATTTAAAATTGGGATAACCTGTGTGCAAGTGTTATGTAATGTATACATGTAGCGTCTTACGAACACATTATTTTATTCACACTGCATTGATAGTATGGCACTATTCGTATCTGTTTTGTCAGTCTCTGTGTGTGTAATACATAATGATGAAAGTACGAACTTACCTTACACAACCATAACGGAACTAACTGTATATAACAGTGTTGACTGTATAGCTAATCTCAACTTGTACATGCCATTTTGAAATGGTCAGCTATTCTCCGTTTATAAAAACATGGACACGGACACTCACCTACACCAACTTTCCTTCTACACCTCCTGCCTCTGAATCCACGTCGACATAAACATTTCCATTTCAAGGGTCCAATCTGCTTGCAAGTGCCCCCATTGCGGCAACGTCTTTTATGACACCGACCTTGGCGAAAACAAGAGCAAAAGGTGCTTACTTTACAGATTGTGTTGATTCAACTTATAACATACTGCAGGTCTATAATATCAGTCACAGGCATGTTCTTGCTCACTGATAAATATCACCTTGGCTTGGGCACTGACGTCTTTGTCTAGTAGTTGAGATGCACGTAAAGAGCAATATTTAGAGTTCCTTCAATAATCATTTCAACATATTTTAATGACCACAGTGTATAACAGTGGATTCCATCTCCTTAGAAAACATCTCCATTTATCACCGTTAGGTTGGCATGTTCAACTTCTGTTTGGTAAAAAAAATTAGTGTGAACACTGACGTATGCATGCGTGCGTGCGTGCGTGCGTGCGTGCGTGCGTGTGCGTGTGTGCGTGCGTGCGTGCGTGCGTGCTTGCGCGTGTGTGTGTGTGTGTGTGTGTGTGTGTGTGTGTGGTTGTTGAGAAACATGTTAAATGGATTTTTTTTGATTTCCCGTTACCAATTATTACAAATCTTTTCATGACAACATTGATAACTATAATGAAAAAGGCAGCGTGTGTTCATCCATTTGGAAAGTACAACTAACCCACATTACAAAGGACGGCAAGACATGTTTCCTTGTTTGCAATGTGTATTTGAAATAGGCGAAACATTGTAAGATATTTGTTGTTCAACTCATTTGATGGCCTACAAACTTTAAATACTTATCATACATTTTTTCATGAATTGCGTTGCATTATCTCAAACAGTATATGACCTTTAAAATTATCCTTAATAAAACATGCCTGTTTGAAAAGATTTCCTTTTGTAAGTTTACATTTAAAATTGGGATAACCTGTGTGCAAGTGTTATGTAATGTATACATGAAGCGTCTTACGAACACATTATTTTATTCACACTGCATTGATAGTATGGCACTATTCGTATCTGTTTTGTCAGTCTCTGTGTGTGTAATACATAATGATGAAAGTACGAACTTACCTTACACAACCATAACGGAACTAACTGTATATAACAGTGTTGACTGTATAGCTGATCTCAACTTGTACATGCCATTTTGAAATGGTCACCTATTCTCCGTTTATAAAAACATGGACACGGGCACTCACCTACACCTACTTTCCTTCTACACCTCCTGCCTCTGAATCCACGTCGACATAAACATTTCCATTTCAAGGGTCCAATCTGCTTGCAAGTGCCCCCATTGCGGCAACGTCTTTTATGACACCGACCTTGGCGAAAACAAGAGCAAAAGGTGCTTACTTTACAGATTGTGTTGATTCAACTTATAACATACTGCAGGTCCATAATATCAGTCACAGGCATGTTCTTGCTCACTGATAAATATCACCTTGGCTTGGGCACTGACGTCTTTGTCTAGTAGTTTAGATGCACGTGAAGAGCAATATTTAGAGTTCCTTCAATAATCATTTCAACATATTTTAATGACCACAGTGTAAAACAGTGGATTCCATCTCCTTAGAAAACATCTCCATTTATTACCTTTAGGTTGGCATGTTCAACTTCTGTTTGGTAGTATATATTGGTGTGAACACTGACGTGTGCGCGTGTGCGTGCGCGTGCGCGTGCGCGTGTATGTGTGTGTTTGCGCGCGTGTGTTTGTGTGTTGTTGTTGTTGTTGAGAAACATGTTAAATGGACTTTTTTTGATTTCCCATTACCAATTATTACAAATCTTTTCATGACAACATTGATAACTATAATGAAAAAGGCAGCGTGTGTACATCCCTTTGGAAAGTACAACTAACCCACATTACAAAGGACGGCAAGACATGTTTCCTTGTTTGCAATGTGTATTTGAAATAGACGAAACATTGTAAGATATTTGTTGTTCAACTCATTTGATGGCCTACAAACATTAAATACTTATTATACATTTTTTCATGAATTGCGTTGCATTATCTCAAACAGTATATGACCTTTTAAATTACAATTTAACTCACCTACACCTACTTTCCTTCTACACCTCCTGCCTCTGAATCCACGTCGACATAAACATTTCCATTTCAAGGGTCCAATCTGCTTGCAAGTGCCTCCATTGCGGCAACGTCTTTTATGACACCGACCTTGGCGAAAACAAGAGCAAAAGGTGCTTACTTTACAGATTGTGTTGATTCAACTTATAACATACTGCAGGTCCATAATATCAGTCACGGGCATGTTCTTGCTCACTGATAAATATCACCTTGGCTTGGGCACTGACGTCTTTGTCTAGTAGTTGAGATGCACGTAAAGAGCAATATTTAGAGTTCCTTCAATAATCATTTCAACATATGTTAATGACCACAGTGTAAAACAGTGGATTCCATCTCCTTAGGAAACATCTCCATTTATTACCGTTAGGTTGGCATGTTCAACTTCTGTTTGGTAGTATATATTGGTGTGAACACTGACGTGTGCGTGTGTGCGTGTGTGCGTGTGCGTGCGCGTGTATGTGTGTGTGCGCGCGCGTGTGTGTTTGTGTGTGTGTGTGTGGTTGTTGAGAAACATGTTAAATTGAATTTTTTTGATTTCCCATTACCAATTATTACAAATCTTTTCATGACAACATTGATAACTATAATGAAAAAGGCAGCGTGTGTACATCCCTTTGGAAAGTACAACTAACCCACATTACAAAGGACGGCAAGACATGTTTCCTTGTTTGCAATGTGTATTTGAAATAGACGAAACAGTGTAAGATATTTGTTGTTCAACTCATTTGATGGCCTACAAACATTAAATAATTATTATACATTTTTTCATGAATTGCGTTGCATTATCTCAAACAGAATATGACCTTTAAAATTACCCTTCATAAAACATGTCTGTTTGAAAAGATTTCCTTTTGTAGTTTACATTTAAAATTGGGATAACCTGTGTGCAAGTGTTATGTAATGTATACATGTAGCGTCTTACGAACACAAGGCACTCGTGAAGAGCAACCTCCTCGTGGTGAGTGCTGGGTAACGCTAATCGCTCTTCCCCCGTGTGGAACCGGGGCAGAATAATTCCACAGCACCCCATTGCTGGTCGTACGAGGCGACCGAATTGGGCAACCTGTTTGCCGTGGGTTGCGCCCCTGTATCGGTGGAGGACGGGATTCTGGTGGTTGAGGGCAATGGAGCCAGGAACCGGTGTTCCTTTTGCCCAACACACCACTTCGACCCTTACTTCACCTAGACGGGTGGTAGAATTGGCCCGATTCTATCAATCGGCTGGTCACGCCATGCCCTGTGCATGGAAAAGTGCCACTTTAGATCTATATCATATTCAACAAGTTTTCTGATGTAATATGATCTTCCAACTTATGCCAATATACTTATTGCCTAGAGTCCTATGCCAGAAGGCGGTGGCTCATGGGCCAATCTGGTGATGTCAACCTCCGATTTCTATATGTCTCCAATGTTCTGTCAAGGGCCGAACCAGCTGGGCATTTCTTTTGGTAGACAAATGTAGCTTTTCGTGTTGTATTTACTGGAGTATACCACCCCTGTAACCCTGGTGTTGTAGACTGGCTTCCTCTTCGGCATCGTCCTTTTTGACACTCGATGGCGGGTGGGGAACAGGGGTGTTGAATAAATTCCTGTCATTATGGCGCAACAAATACCTGGTTCAAATCGTGAAAAAAAGAGAAGACTGGAAAATGACAGTTTAACTGAAAATGTTTTTCAAAACAATGATTTTTGGGCTCGCTTCCTGGTAATCGAGGCTGATGATCATCAACCATTAAAACTGAACCCATTTGCCATTTCAAAAGCTGTTTCTGGAATCTGTGGTGCAGTCAAAAATGTAACCCGTCTTCGGTCTGGCTCCCTACTTGTGGAGTGTGCACGGAGACAGCAATCTCTGAATCTTTTATCAATTACTCAGTTTGCCAATGTTGATGTTGCTGTGTCCGTGCACAGAACACTGAACTCGTGTCGGGGAATTGTTCGCGACAGAGCTCGATGCCTGTCAGATATGTCGGAACAAGAAATTGTTTCTGAACTGGATGATCAAGGTGTTACGTTTGTAAAACGTTTCACCAGAATCACCGATGGAGTTGTCACGAATACTCATACTTACCTGTTCACTTTTGCGCGTTCTTCCTTACCGCAATCAATCAAAGCTGGTTATGTTAATATCGGAGTGGATATGTATATCCCAAATCCCCTCCGATGTTTTAAATGTCAAACCTTTGGCCATGGTTCTAAATCATGTGCTAAACCTGTCAAATGTCATCGTTGTGCTGGCAGCCATGAGGGTAGAGACTGTGAGGAGGACATTGTTTGTGCAAACTGTGGTGGCCAACATTTGTCTTCTTCCAAGTCGTGTCCTGTTTGGCAACTTGAATCAAAAATCAATAAAATGAAATATGAAAATAACATTTCTTTTGCAGAAGCAAGAAAGCTGTTCACTAAACAATCCGCTACTCCATCACATCTTACTTACTCTGCCGCAGTTACACGTTCTGCAACTATATCTACTGTCACTGCATCAATCTCATGCCAAACGGATCTGTCATGGGTCCATTCTGATCAGCCCCTTAATACCGCTGGAATCAGTCCACCAACTTCTGATAATCAGACCAGTTCAGCAACCCAGACTTCAACACAGACTGTCACTCAGACGGATACTCTGACTGCTAGTCAGCCTGACACAGTTGTCCCAGTTGTCCCAGAAAATAACAAAAACACTGAACCACTTGACAGCTCACTTGAGAAAAAGAAAAAAAAGAAGTTAAATAGAAAACAAACATCTCCGGCAGCCTCGTCCCCAGAACTATCTCTTCACAACTCCTTTGAGCCTCTTGACATGGAGGTAACTCTGTCTGTAGAGGACAGTAGGAGTAATTCGTCCTCACGTTCGCGTGTGAGATCCCCAATTGAGACTCCATGACTCAATTGTCCAATATGATACAATGGAATTGCAGAGGACTTAGAAACAATTTTAATGACATTCAATTATTGATACAGGATTTTAAACCGTCTGCTTTATGTCTTCAGGAGACATACCTAAAAAGTACAGATAAATTTGATATCAGACAGTATAACTGTCATCATTCATATTCCCCCCCAGGTGACAAAGCAACTGGGGGGTCGTCTATCTTGGTTAGACAGGGCGTGATTCACAGCCCTGTTGCGCTCAATTCAAATCTTCAAGCTGTTGCTGTTCGTTTAACTTTGAACATTGTCTTTACGCTGTGTTCCTTGTATATTCCTCCATCTACTTTGCTTCGACTATCTGATCTTCAAAATCTGTATGATCAGCTCCCCAAACCATGTATCATCGTGGGTGATCTGAATGGACACAACCCCCTCTGGGGCAGTGTTACCACAAATACTAAAGGGAAAATACTTGAGGAATTCATTTCTGATAATAATTTGTGTATCTGTAATGATGATTCAAACACCTATTTACATCCTGCCACTGGTACATACTCAGCTCTTGATCTGTCTCTCACAGACTCAAATCTATTTCACGAGTTTGAATGGTCGGTCCATGATGACCTCTGCGGAAGCGATCACTTTCCCACCATTCTTAAATCTGTGAACCCGAATCCTGAAACCTCCACGTCCAGGTGGAATTTTACAAAGGCCAATTGGTCATTGTATGAAACATTGTGTGCTGCAAAATTAATCCCTCATCATTTTCAAAATGTTGAAGATCCCATTCAGTTGTTTTCAGATCAGCTCAATGAAATAGCTGATCAAACAATTCCTAAGTCCTCTGCAAATCCTCATATTCGCAAACCGTGGTTTACCTTGGAATGTAAACAGGCACGGAAGTGTAGGAAGAAAGCGGAAAAGTACTTCCGCCGACATCCCACAGTTCATAACTTAGATCAAGTAAAAATTACAAATGCAAAAGCCAGGCGAGCTTATAAACAAAATAAGCGTCAATCTTGGAGGAACTACGTCTCCAAAATAACTTCCCGTACTCCTATATCCAAAGTTTGGAACATGATAACAAAAATTAAAGGCAAAGGATCAAAGTCTTCTGTTCACCATCTTAAGGAAGGTGATCAGTTATTAACTGATAAATCAGACATTGCCAATAAACTTGGTGAAACATTGGCAAAACATTCATCATCATCTAATTATGCCCCTGAATTCATAAAATATCAGAAACAACAGGAAAAGAAAACTGTTAATTTTAACTCTGATAACGGGGAAGACTATAATGAAGTGTTTTCCTTCCATGAGCTACTTACAGCCCTAGGGCAAGCTCATGATACAGCGGCTGGTGCTGATAATATTCACTATCAGCTCCTGAAACATTTGCCTATATCATGTCTAGAAACACTTTTAGATATATTTGACCAAATATGGACGTCGGGGAATTTTCCTCCTTCGTGGCATGATGCCATTGTAGTCCCTATCCCAAAACCTGGTCGGGATCATACAGATCCATCAAATTACCGTCCTATATCTTTAACCAGTTGTGTCTGTAAAACCATGGAGCGAATGGTGAATAATAGATTAGTTTGGTTCTTAGAAACCAATCAACTACTCACAAATATTCAATGTGGTTTCCGCAAAAATCGAAGTACTATTGATCATTTAGTACGATTGGAATCGTTTGTGAAAAATGCTATTGTTAACAAACAACATGCAGTGTCAATATTTTTTGATCTTGAGAAAGCTTACGACACTACCTGGAAGCATGGCATTTTAAAAGATTTACACGTGTTTGGTCTGAGAGGCCGCTTACCACATTTTATATCACAGTTTTTAGCCGGCAGGCAATTTCAAGTCCGAGTGGGTTCAACCCTGTCTGACCATTATAATCAGGAGCAGGGTGTGCCACAAGGAAGTATTTTGTCAGTTACTCTATTTAGTATTAAAATCAATAGTCTTTCAAAGGTTTTAAGTGATGCAGTGGATGGATCACTTTTCGTAGATGATTTTAATATATCTTGTCGTGGTAAAAATATGCACACTATTGAGAGACAGCTACAATTATGCCTTAATAAAATACAGAAATGGTGTCTAGAGAATGGGTTTAAGTTCTCCAAAGTCAAAACAAACTGTATCCATTTTTGCCGCAAATATAAACCGCATAAAGACCCTGAACTATTTTTGGCTGGTTTTCCTATTAAAGTTGTCAAGGAAGCCAAGTTCTTGGGTATTATATTTGATAATCATCTCACATTTTTACCACATATAAAATATCTGAAGACTAAATGTCTGAAGGCAATTGACTTGTTGAAAGTCGTTTCTCATTCAAAATGGGGAGGGGATCAGACTACTCTACTTCATTTATATCGTTCTCTCATCCGTTCCAAACTCGATTATGGCTCTATCATTTATGGTGGGGCCTGTAAAAGCAACTTAAAATTATTAGATTCAGTACATCATCAAGGCCTGAGACTTTGTCTTGGAGCCTTTCGAACATCACCAGTCGATAGCTTATATGTAGAGGCCGATGAGCCATCTCTACAACAACGTCGAATCAAACTTTCATTACAATATGTGACTAAATTGTACTCAAACCCTTCGAATCCAGCTTTTGAGTGTGTGTTTAATCCCATTTATGCCAAGTTATTTCAATCAAAACCAAAACTTGTTCCTCCTCTAGGGTTCAGAATTCAGCCACATATTACAGCAGCTAATATTGATCTTTCTATTATCTCACCTACCCGGCTACTGTCTACACCTCCTTGGCAACTAGTTAAACCAGAGGTAGACCTAACACTAACTACCCTTAAGAAATCTGACACAAACCCATTGGTATATCAACAAGAATATGCCCAATTAAGGTCAAAATATGATTCTCATCGATCTATTTTTACCGATGGTTCAAAAGATGATGGCAAAGTTTCAAGTGCCACTGTCATTGGATCTAAAAGAGTGTCTTCGAGAATTCCTGGTCCTAGCTCTATTTTTACAGCTGAGGCCAATGCTATTCTTATAGCATTGGAATACATTCAAAACCAATCATCTCAACAGTTCATCATCTTTTCTGATTCCTTGTCATGCCTTCAGGCCATACATAATTGTTCTTCAGATCATCCGCTGATTCTTAATATTTTAGAATTGAATAATACCCTCGCCACTGCCCAATACGACATCGTGTTTTGCTGGCTGCCCAGTCATGTTGGAATTGCTGGTAACACTATGGCTGATACTGCTGCAAAGGCAGCACTCAACAAATCAGTCACACCACTTCTTTTACCTTACAGTGATTACAAGCCAATAATTAGATGCTACATCAAAGATCTAATGCAAATTAAGTGGAACACCCAAGTAGGTCTAAACAAACTTTATGCTATAAAACCAACAATAGGGTATACCTACTTGGGTTGCCATTCGAGACATGATGAAGTTGTTTTGCAACGATGTCGTATTGGACACAGTCGATGTACACACGAGTATCTTTTAAAAGGTGAGGATCCTCCATTTTGTGTCCCTTGTGATGAGAGAATCACAGTCAAGCATGTTTTGCTTGACTGTGTTGATTTTTCTCTCATAAGGGACAACTATTATCATTCAACGTCTTTAAAGGATCTTTTTTATAATACCAGTGCTCATTTAATACTCGGATTTTTAAAAGAAATACTATTATTTGATAAATTTTGAATTGTTTTAGAATAGTTGGATATTCTTGTCAACTGAAATGTATGAAGGCGGTGCCACTCAGGGGGTTAAAGTAGTGTAAAATTATTGTCCCCCTGACTGTGGCACATAATTCCATCTATATTGAAGTACTTAATATCAACTAGTGTTTTAATTCCTTGATTGTGTTTTTAATTTTTAATATTGGTTAATATTTCATACAACCACAAGTGACCAAAGTGATGACATAAATCCTGCTGGGAATCATGCAGGAAGCAAAAGTATTGTAAGTCCCCATGATCCCCAGCTAGGTGGTCTAGGTTTGGTTACAAGTGGTCTATAGCCTGGTTTTACTTTCAAATAACTACTACACTGAAAACTTCTTTGTTTTAATATTGCTCAGGTAAGTTTTATGTCTACACTGTGATAATTCCCTTACTGTTTTACTGTCCTTTGTCGACAGGTATTTTTATAATAATAAACTTGTTCTCATCGCGATATGGCTGCAATATTGCCGATGCGATGTAAAATCATAACTCACTCACTCACTCTTACGAACACATTATTTTATTCACACTGCATTGATAGTATGGCACTATTCGTATCTGTTTTGTCAGTCTCTGTGTGTGTAATACATAATGATGAAAGTACGAACTTACCTTACACAACCATAACGGAACTAACTGTATATAACAGTGTTGACTGTATAGCTAATCTCAACTTGTACATGCCATTTTGAAATGGTCACCTATTCTCCGTTTATAAAAACATGGACACGGACACTCACCTACACGTACTACTTTCCTTCTACACCTCCTGCCTCTGAATCCACGTCGACATAAACATTTCCATTCCAAGGGTCCAATCTGCTTGCAAGTGCCCCCATTGCGGCAACGTCTTTTATGACACCGACCTTGGCGAAAACAAGAGCAAAAGGTGCTTACTTTACAGATTGTGTTGATTCAACTTATAACATACTGGGCACTCGTGAAGAGCAACCTCCTCGTGGTGAGTGCTGGGTAGCGCTAATAGCTCTTCCCCCGTGTGGAACCGGGGTAGAATATTTCCACAGCACCCCATTGCTGGTCGTAGAAGGCGACCTAATTGGGCAACCTGTTTGCCGTGGGTTGCGCCCCTGTGTCGGCGGAGGACGGGATTCTGGTGGTTGAGGGCACTGGAGCCAGGAACCGGTGTTCCTTTTGCCCAACACACCACTTCGACCCTTACTTCGCCTAGACGGGTGGTAGAATGGGCCCGGTTCTATCAATCGGCTGGTCATGCCAAGCCCTGTGCATAGAATTATTTCTGCACATCCTGGATTTTCAAGAATGTTATATTTTGGACTTGGAATAAACTACGTATTGATATCCTAACTTGCCTAGAGTCCTATGCCGGAAGGCGGTGGCTCATGGGCCAATCTGGTGATAGAGACCTCTGAATTCTGTGTTTCTTGGGAACAGTGTTATGGGCAGAACCAGCCTGACACTTCTTCTTTTGGATCTCATAGCTATTCAAGTCGATATTTACTAGAGTATAACACCGCTGTATCCCTGGTGTTGCAGGCTGGCTTCCACTGCGACACCGTCTTCATTGACACTCGGTGGCGGGTGGGGAGCTGCGGTGCTGAACCATATTATCTCACCATGTCTCACACAAACACTTCTGGTTCTAGCAAAACAAACAAACGTCGACATGTAGAGTCAACTTCGTCAGATGATGAAGTTTCGCCTGAAGTAAAGGATGCTTGGCCTCGGTTTATAGTCATATCTTCTTCTGATGGACTTCCATTGAAATTAAATCCGTTCGCTATCTCTAAGGGCATTCACAGTGCCTGCGGAGAAGTGAAAAATGTATCACGCCTTCGGACTGGTTCCATCTTGGTGGAATGTGCAAGGAAACAGCAATCTGTCAATCTGCTGGGCTTACAGCAGTTTGTTAATACTCAGGTTTTTGTTTCCGAGCACAAGACACTGAACTCTAGCCGAGGTATTGTCAGGGACCTAGCTCGCTGTCTTTCCGACATGAGCGAGGAAGAGATTGCTGCTGAACTGAAAAGCCAAGGAGTCACCAATGTTAAACGCTTCACAAGGAAAACACAAGAAGGCAACATTGTAAATACTCAAACTTACCTTTTCAGCTTCTCCCTACCTAGAATCCCTAACTCTATAAAAGCTGGATACTTTCACATTGGAGTGGAGGTTTATGTACCTCATCCACTTCGATGTTTCAAATGTCAAAAGTTTGGTCATGGTGCCAAATTCTGTCGTGGCAAGGCAGTCGTGTGCTGCCGTTGTAGTGGAGCTCATGACACATCAGACTGCTCTAGTGACATGAAGTGCTCCAACTGTGGCGGTGAGCATATGGCTTCCTCCAAATCGTGTCCAACTTTTGAATTTGAGTCCAAAATTTTGAAAATAAAACATACAAACAATGTCACCTACCTAGAAGCAAAGAAATTAGTACAATCTGTAGCTCCAGCTCCTGTAAAAACATACTCAGCAGCAATATCCTCCCCAACTCCAGTTGCTAAACCTTCGACAAAATCTATTTCTTGTCAAACTGACATCTCGTGGATCAAGGATGACCAGGTTACCCTTGATACTTTACATCATAGGTCCAATAGTGATCCACTGATTGCCACAGCTTCGTCTCAGACGGAACCAGAATTAGTACCCGACAGCCAACCAGTGGGCAAAGCCCACTTATCTAACAGCGAAAAAAAGAAACTTCGAAAAATCAGGGCCCTCCAACACATGGAGATGCCTTCTATTACAACATCTGTTGAGGTTCATAACCCCTATGCACCTCTGGAGATGGATGTCACTCCCACACAGCCAGTCCATGGGAGTGGACACTCCTCCCGCTCACGATCCCCGGTTGAGCCGCCATGAGCTGCTCAAGTCATATCCTTCAATGGAATTGCAGAGGACTACGGCATAACTATAATGATATCCAATTACTACATCAAGATTTTCGACCATCAGCTTTATGTCTTCAGGAAACATACTTGAAAACTACAGATCAAATTGACATAAGAGGCTATACTTCCTACCATTTCTTTTCTCCCCCAGGGGCTAAGGCCACTGGAGGTTCTTCAGTATTAGTAAAGCAGGGTGTTCTTCACAGCCCAGTTCTCCTTAATACCGCTCTTCAGGCTGTTGCAGTTCGTGTGACTCTGCACATCGTACTCACTTTGTGCTCGCTCTATATTCCTCCGTCATATTCTCTTCAGCAAACTGATCTCCAAGCCCTTTATGACCAACTACCAAAGCCCTGCATCATAATGGGTGATTTAAATGGGCATAATCCCTTATGGGGCAGTGCACATACCAACACGAGAGGAAAGTTGCTGGAAGATTTTATGTTAAATAATGATTTATGTATTTTCAACGATAATTCAAAAACATATCTTCATCCTGGTACTGGGACATACTCGTCCATTGATTTGTCAATTTCAGATTCAGATTTGCTTGATGAGTTTGAGTGGTCAGTCCACAACGACCTCTGTGGAAGTGACCATTTCCCTACCATTCTTAAGTCTGTGACCCCATCTGACGTTACTCCATCATCAAGATGGAATTTCAATAAGGCTAACTGGCCTTTGTATGAAAATCTTTGTGCAAACCGACTTACACCTGAACTGTTTCTAGATGTTCCTGATCCTGTCAAATGTTTCTCTGATGCACTCCATAATATAGCTGATGAATGTATTCCAAAGTCCTCTGCAAATCCACACATCCGTAAACCATGGTTCAATGATACTTGCAAACAAGCTAGGAAGGCACGGAAAAAGGCTGAGAATTATTTCCGTCGTCATCCTATGGTTCATAATTTAAATAAATTCAAAATCATAAATGCCAAGGCACGACGTACATTTAAACAAAATAAACGCATGTCTTGGCAAGCTTACGTTTCGAAACTAAATTCACGTACGCCGCTATCGAAGGTATGGAACATGATCAAAAAGATTAAAGGTAAGGGATCTAAATCTGGTATCCACCATCTTCAAAATGGGAATGAATTGTTAACTGATAAGTCCGATATTGCTAATAAACTTGGTGAAACTTTAGCTAAACATTCTTCCTCGTCTAACTATGTTCCTCAATTCCAGAAGTACAAAACACAGCAGGAAAAGAAAACTATTAATTTTAATTCAGATAATGGGGAAGATTATAATGAAGTATTTTCTCTTCATGAGCTCCATACTGCCCTTGGGCAGGCTCACGATACTGCTTCAGGAGCTGATAATATACATTATCAACTCCTGAAACATTTACCAGAACCTTGTTTAGTAACCTTGTTAAATATATTTGATGACATTTGGACCTCTGGCTCATTTCCTTCATCATGGCGTGATGCCATCGTTGTTCCCATTCCAAAACCTGGACGTGATCATAACGATCCCTCAAACTACCGACCCATATCACTGACCAGCTGCGTTTGCAAAACCATGGAACGCATGGTCAACAATAGATTGACATGGTACTTGGAATCCAATAATTTAATCACAACTATTCAATGTGGTTTTCGTAAAAACCGGAGTACTGTTGACCATTTAGTTAGATTAGAGTCATTTGTTAAAAATGCAATTATAAACAATCAACATGCAGTGTCTATCTTTTTCGATCTAGAAAAAGCTTACGACACTACATGGAAACATGGTATTTTAAAGGACTTGCACGATTTTGGATTGAGAGGTCGTTTGCCTCAATTTATATCCAAATTTTTAACTGACAGACAATTTCAAGTCCGCGTGGGCTCAACCCTGTCTGATCATTATAATCAGGATCAGGGTGTCCCACAAGGCAGTATCTTGTCTGTTACACTTTTTAGTATTAAGATAAATAGCCTGTCTAAGGTCTTAAATGATTCCATAGATGGGTCGCTTTTTGTGGATGATTTTAACATGTCTTGTCGTGGTAAAAATATGCATTCAATTGAAAGACAATTACAGTTATGTCTTAATAAAATTCAAAAATGGTCACTTGAAAATGGCTTTAAATTTTCTAAAGCCAAGACAAATTGTATACATTTTTGTCGCAAATATAAATCACATCAAGACCCTGTACTGTATTTGGATCGCACGCCTATCAATATTGTAAAGGAAGCCAAATTCCTAGGACTTATTTTTGATAGCCATTTGACATTTAAACCCCATATCAAATACCTTAAAGCTAAATGCCTGAAGGCACTTGATTTGTTAAAAGTCGTTTCCAATTCAAAGTGGGGAGGTGATCAGAAGACCCTCCTCCAACTATATAGATCTCTCATTCGTTCAAAACTGGATTATGGCTCCATCGTTTATGGGGGTGCATGCAAAAGCAATCTTAAAATTCTCGATTCTATACATCACCAAGGACTACGGCTCTGCCTTGGATCCTTCAGAACTTCTCCCATTAACAGTTTATATGTAGAGGCTGATGAACCATCACTAAAACTCAGACGTCTAAAATTATCTTTACAGTATATCACCAAATTATCTTCAAATCAGTCAAACCCTGCATATGATTGCGTTTTTCATCCCCTATATGAGGACCTCTACCAAAAGAAATCTTCTCTTATTCCCCCTCTTGGAATAAGATTGAAAACTGCAATTTCTGATGCGAATTTACACCTTGAAAATATTTCTCCTTACCACCTTTTGTCTTCACCCCCTTGGCAACTGATAAAGCCAGTGGTAGACATGACACTAACAAAACTAAAGAAATCACAAACTAATCCACTAATTTATCAACAAGAATACCATCAACTGAGAACTAACTATGATACATACAAATCTATGTTTACCGATGGATCCAAGGATGGTGACGCGGTTGCTAGCGCTACTATCATTGGATCCAGAACACTCTCGTTCAGGTTGCCACATGACAGTTCAATTTTCACAGCAGAATCACACGCCATCTTAACAGCTCTTAAATACATTCAAAATCAATCTAAGCATAAGAAGTTCATAATATTTTCAGACTCTCTTTCATGTCTTCAGGCTATTCACAATATGTCCAGTACACATCCACTTTTACTCGAAATTGTCGAATTATACAATGATCTAGCTACTGGCCAATACGACATCGCTTTCTGTTGGTTACCCAGCCATGTCGGTATCGTTGGTAACACAATGGCTGATGCTGCTGCAAAAGCAGCACTCAACAAATCTGTGACACCACTTCTTCTACCCTACAGTGACTATAAACCTGTTATAAGATGTTATATCAGAGATCTAATGCAGAGGAAGTGGGACACCCAAGTGGGTATAAATAAATTACGAGAAATTAATCCAACTATCGGTTACACCTACTTGGGCTGTCAGTCCAGATTTGAAGAGGTCATTCTGCGACGATGTCGTATTGGCCATTCAAGATATACAAATGAATATATTTTAAAAGGTGAGGATCCTCCATTTTGTATCCCTTGTGATGAGAGAATCACCGTCAAGCATGTCCTGCTTGATTGTGTTGATTTTTCCATCACAAGGGATAAATATTTCAAAGTTTCATCCTTAAAGGATCTATTTAGTATCAATGCTCGTTTAATTATTGCCTTTTTAAAAGAAATTGAATTGTTACATAAATTTTGATTGATATGTTTTGTATATAATATAGTTTTTATACTTGGTAAAATAAATTTGATGACTGAGATTGTTAGTGGCTGTATCCTTGAAGGGGGTTGAAGTAACGTAAAATTATTGTCCCCCTGAGAGGTTATGTAAGACCACAGCATTCAAAGTGCATTTATTCTTGCCACAGTTTTAGACGTAGAATATTTGTTTATTTTAAGTATTGGCTAAATTGCATATAATCACCAGCGACTGAAGGGATGGTGTAAATCCTGCTGGGGAGTCGTGCAGGTAGCAAAAGTATTGTAAGTCCCCACGGTCACCAGTAAGGTGGCCTAACTTTGGTTGCTGGTGATCTATAGCCCATTTTTATATTGTATTGTTGATTGAAAATGTATGCTTTTTAATGTTCTCAACTAGTTTTAAAATCAAAACTGTGATACTCTAGTTATTTTTACTGTCCTTCGATGACAGATATTTAATCCATTCAAATATTTGTATTTTATACCAGTTCTCGTCACGATATGGCTGAAATACTGCCGATGTGACGTTAAATATTAACTCACTCACTCACTCACTATAACATACTGCAGGTCCATAATATCAGTCACGGGCATGTTCTTGCTCACTGATAAATATCACCTTGGCTTGGGCACTGACGTCTTTGTCTAGTAGTTGAGATGCACGTAAAGAGCAATATTTAGAGTTCCTTCAATAATCATTTCAACATATTTTAATGACCACAGTGTAAAACAGTGGATTCCATCTCCTTAGGAAACATCTCCATTTATTACCGTTAGGTTGGCATGTTCAACTTCTGTTTGGTAGTATATATTGGTGTGAACACTGACGTGTGCGTGTGTGCGTGTGCGTTCGCGTGTATGTGTGTGTGGGTGCGCGTGTGTGTGTTTGTGTGTGTGTGTGTGGTTGTTGAGAAACATGTTAAATGGACTTTTTTTGATTTCCCATTACCAATTATTACAAATCTCTTCATGACAACATTGATATCCATTATGAAAAAGGCAGCGTGTGTACATCCCTTTGGAAAGTACAACTAACCCACATTACAAAGGACGGCAAGACATGTTTCCTTGTTTGCAATGTGTATTTGAAATAGGCGAAACAGTGTAAGATATTTGTTGTTCAACTCATTTGATGGCCTACAAACATTAAATAATTATTAATAATAATATACATTTTTTCATGAATTGCGTTGCATTATCTCAAACAGAATATGACCTTTAAAATTACCCTTCATAAAACATGTCTGTTTGAAAAGATTTCCTTTTGTAAGTTTACATTTAAAATTGGGATAACCTGTGTGCAAGTGTTATGTAATGTATACATGTAGCGTCTTACGAACACATTATTTTATTCACACTGCATTGATAGTATGGCACTATTCGTATCTGTTTTGTCAGTCTCTGTGTGTGTAATACATAATGATGAAAGTACGAACTTACCTTACACAACCATAACGGAACTAACTGTATATAACAGTGTTGACTGTATAGCTAATCTCAACTTGTACATGCCATTTTGAAATGGTCACCTATTCTCCGTTTATAAAAACATGGACACGGACACTCACCTACACCAACTTTCCTTCTACACCTCCTGCCTCTGAATCCACGTCGACATAAACATTTCCATTTCAAGGGTCCAATCTGCTTGCAAGTGCCCCCATTGCGGCAACGTCTTTTATGACACCGACCTTGGCGAAAACAAGAGCAAAAGGTGCTTACTTTACAGATTGTGTTGATTCAACTTATAACATACTGCAGGTCCATAATATCAGTCACGGGCATGTTCTTGCTCACTGGGCACTCGTGAAGAGGAACCTCCTCGTGGTGAGTGCTGGGTGGCGCTAATAGCTCTTCCCCCGTGTGGACTCGGGGTAGAATTTGTCCACAGCACCCCATTGCTGGTCGTAAAAGGCGACCGAATTGGGCAACCTGTTTGCCGTGGGTTGCGCCCCTGTGTCGGTGGAGGACGGGATTCTGGTGGTTGAGGGCAATGGAGCCAGGAACCGGTGTTCCTTTTGCCCAACACGCCACTTCGACCCTTACTTCACCTAGACGGGTGGTAGAATGGGCCCGGTTCTATCAATCGGCTGGTCACGTCATGCCCTGAGCATGGCAAACTGTCACGTTTGATACATCATAATACTCCATTTTCTATGATGAATTATGTTATCCCAATTATGCAATTCTAATTCTTGCCTAGAGTCCTATGCCAGAAGGCGGTGGCTCATGGGCCAATCTGGTGATGTCAACCTCCGAATTCTATATGTCTCCATTGTTCTGTCATGGGCCGAACCAGCTGGGCATTTCTTTTGGTAGACAAATTTAGCTATTCGTGTTGTATTTGCTGGAGTATAACACCCCTGTAGCCCTGATGTTGTAGACTGGCTTCCTCTGCGGCATCGTTTTTTATTGACACTCCATGGTGGGTGGGGATCAGGGGTGCTGAATTTTATTCTCACACCATGTCACAAAACCCAAATTCTGGTTCATTGAAAACCAATAAACGTCGTCATGTGGACTCTTTGTCATCTGATGAAGATGTCTCTCAAGATGTTGCTAATTCTTGGCCAAGGTTTATAGTCATATCTTCTTCTGATGGAAATCCTCTCAAACTTAATCCTTTTGCTGTCTCCAAGGGCATTCAGAGTGTCTGTGGAGAGGTAAAAAATGTAACTCGTCTCAGAAATGGTTCACTTCTTGTCGAGTGTGCACGGAGACAGCAATCTGTCAATCTGCTGGGTCTCCAGCAGTTTGTTAACACCCAGGTTGTTGTTTCAGTGCACAAATCTCTAAACTCCTGCAGAGGAATTGTTCGAGACCGAGCGAAGTGTCTGTCTTACATGACAGAAGACGAAATTGCAGCAGCATTGACACATCAAGGAGTTACCTCCGTGAAACGTTTCACGAGAAAACAGGACAACAATGTCATCAAAACAAATACATATCTGTTCACCTTTAGACTTTCTGCTATTCCAACATCAATAAAAGCTGGCTACTTTAACATCGGTGTTGAGGTATATATCCCTAACCCACTCAGATGTTTTAAGTGCCAACAGTTTGGCCATGGTGCCAACACCTGCACCCGCAATAATGTATGCCTTCGTTGCAGTGGGGCTCATGAGAACCCTGAGTGCACCAATGACATCAAGTGTGCCAACTGTGATGGACAACATTTGGCATCGTCAAAGTCCTGCCCAAAATTTGAATATCAGTCAACACTCCTCAAAATTAAACACACAAACAATATCTCTTTTTCTGAAGCAAAAAAATTACTTCCCAATCCTAGTCAAAATCCTACTGTCTCATATTCTGCTGCACTTTCTTCTGTTCCCGTTCCCAAGGTAGCGACAAAATCCATTTCCTGTCAAACAGACATATCTTGGGTGACTGATCAACGGGTCACACTTGGTGATACACCTATGCCACCACCTTCACAGACCAGTTCATCTGCGTCTCAGACAGAAATGCCAACACAAGGTCCATCTGAACCAACCTCTGAACCAACATCTGAGCAAGAAGTTGAGACAGTTAACCAAAAGAAAAAGAAACAGTTAAAAAAACAGGCCAGGACTCTCCAGCATTTGGAGGTGCCCCAACCTTTAGACCCTACTGTAACGGTTCATAATCCGTTTGATCCACTTGATATGGACGTCACTCCTTCACACCCTGTACATGGGAGTGACCATTCCACACGACCAAGATCCCCAGTTGAGCCTCCATGAGTGGCTCCCTCAACTTGATTCAGTGGAATTGCAGAGGTCTCAGGACCAATTTTAATGAATTACATTTATTAATTCAAGATTTTACGCCATCAGCAATATGTCTCCAGGAGACATATCTCAAAGAGACTGACAACTTTGATTTGCGTCGGTACAGTTCGTATCACTCCTTTTCTCCACCAGGGGCTAAAGCTACTGGAGGATCTACTGTTTTGGTGAAGCAGGGAGTGATCCACAGCCCTGTTTCACTTCATACCAATCTTCAGGCTGTTGCAGTGCGCTTGACTTTGCACATTACATTTACCCTGTGTTCTTTGTATATTTCTCCTTCCTCTGTGCTTCAGAGATCGGATCTTCAATCCTTATACGATCAACTCCCTAAGCCTTGCATGATTGTGGGTGATTTAAACGGCCATTACCCATTATGGGGAAGTGTTAACGTTAATCAAAAGGGAAGAGTACTTGAAGATTTTATTTCTGATAACAATTTATGCATTTACAATGATGGGTCAAATACTTATTTACATCCCGCTACTGGAACCTATTCTGCTTTAGATCTGTCACTAACAGATTCAAATCTATTAAACGAATTTACGTGGTCGGTCCATGATGACTTGTGTGGCAGCGACCATTTTCCCTCAATATTAACAGCGAATAATCCAACTGATGTTCCACCTACATCTAGGTGGAATTTTACCAAGGCAAACTGGCCTTCTTTTCAGGAACTCTGTACCGATAGATTGACACCGGATATGTTCAGAACTGTTACCGACCCTATTCAGTTGTTCTCTGATAAGTTGAATGAAATTGCTGTGATAACTATTCCTAAGTCCTCTGCAAATCCACACATTCGAAAACCATGGTTTGATCTAGAATGCAAACAGGCTAGAAAGTATCGGAAAAAAGCGGAGAAATATTTCCGCCGACATCCAACTGTACATAATTTGGATCATGTTAAAATCACAAATGCCAAGGCCCGCCGTACGTTCAAACAGAATAAGCGTAAGTCTTGGAGAAATTATGTCTCTAAAATAAATTCTCGCACGCCGATATCCAAGGTGTGGAACATGATTGCAAAAATTAAAGGTAAAGGCTCAAAATCAACTGTCCACCATCTCAAAGAAGGTGACCATTTATTAACAGATAAAGTGGACATTGCTAATAAATTGGGCGAGACGCTGGCCAAACACTCTTCATCGACAAATTATGATCCCAAGTTTCAAACTTATCAGAACAACAGGAAAAGAAGAGGATTGATTTTACATCTCAAAATGGAGAAGATTATAATGAGGTATTTTCGCTTCACGAGCTAAATACTGCACTTGGTCAAGCGCACGACACTGCAACGGGAAATGATAATATTCATTATCAACTCCTGAAGCATTTACCTAATTCATGTTTAGAGACGCTTCTTGATATATTTGAGTGTAAAATTATTGTCCCCCTGAGAGGGTATGTAAGACCACGTCTTTCAAAGTCTATTTATTTCTACCACGTTCTTAATAGTAGTATATATGTTCATTTAACTTTGGCTAAATTTGTCATAATCGCCAACAGCTAAAGGGATGATGTAAATCCAGCTGGGATCCATGCAGGTAGCAAAAGTACTGTAAGTCCCCATGGACCCTAGCATGGTGATCTACCTTCAGCTGCTGGCGATCTATAGCCTGTTTTTATCTTGTATCGTTATGTATAGTGCTATTCTCTTTTATAATTCCGTACTAGTTTTATATCTTTTTCTGTGATGATCTAGTAATTTTACTGTCCTTCGTTGGCAGGTTTTTATACAAGTTTCAATGTATGTATTATCTATAACTATTGATAGTCACGATATGGCTGAAATATTGCCGATGTGACTTAAAATTTAACTCACTCACTCTTGATATATTTGATCAGATATGGATGTCAGGAAATTTTCCTACTTCTTGGCGTAATGCTATAGTTGTCCCCATACCTAAACCTGGTAGGGACCATAGTGATGCATCTAATTATAGACCAATATCACTAACTAGCTGTGTGTGCAAAACCATGGAGCGAATGGTAAATAATCGACTGGTTTGGTACTTGGAAACTAATAATCTTATAAGTAACATACAATGTGGTTTCCGTCAGAATAGAAGTACCATTGACCATCTGGTACGTTTAGAATCCTTTGTCAAAAATGCAATTGTAAATAATCAGCATGCAGTATCAATCTTTTTTGATTTAGAAAAAGCGTATGATACCACTTGGAAGCATGGTATTTTAAAAGATCTACATAATTTGGGGTTAAGAGGCCGTTTGCCTCAATTTATATCCCAATTTTTAACAGACCGACAATTTCAGGTTCGTGTGGGTTCCACCCTGTCTGACCATTATAATCAGGATCAGGGTGTCCCACAAGGCAGTATTTTGTCTGTAACTCTGTTTAGCATAAAGATTGATAGTCTGTCAAAGGTTTTAAATGATTCCATTGATGGTTCACTTTTTGTGGACGATTTTAATATTTCATGTCGTGGTAAAAATATACGTACCATCGAGAGACAGTTACAGCTGTGTCTCAAGAAAATCGAAAAATGGTGTCTTGAAAATGGTTTTAGGTTTTCAAAAGCTAAGACCAATTGTATTCATTTTTGTAGAAAATACAAACACCACAAAGATCCAGAACTATTTTTACATGGCACTCCTATCAAGGTTGTAGAAGAGGCCAAGTTCCTGGGTCTCATTTTCGATCACCATTTAACTTTTAAGCCGCATATTAACTATCTTAAAACTAAATGCTTGAAGGCTCTCGATTTGTTGAAAGTTGTTGCCAACACGAAGTAGGGAGGTGATCAGTCAACTCTCCTACACTTGTATCGGTCTCTAATCCGCTCTAAATTAGATTATGGCTCCATCGTTTATGGTGGAGCCTGTAAGAGCAATTTACAAAAATTAGATTCTATTCACCATCAGGGCCTAAGACTATGTCTTGGCGCCTTTCGAACGTCTCCTGTGGAAAGCTTATATGTAGAAGCTGATGAACCATCGTTAAAGCAGCGGCGTATCAAATTATCGCTTCAATATATTGCAAAATTACGTTCTAACCCGTTAAACCCTGCATATAACTGTATATTTCAACCCCATTACGAAGACCTTTTTCATAGTAAGCCTAAGCTGGTCCCACCACTAGGCATTCGGATTAAACCCCACATTACAGCTGCACATCTTGATTTAGATAATATTTCTCCTTTCAGGCTTCTGTCTTCCCCTCCTTGGCAACTTGTCAGACCGGAGGTGGACTTGACACTCACACAATTTAAAAAACAAGACACAAATCAATTAGTATATCAGCAAGAATATTTACAAGTTAGAGCTAAATACGAATCCCATCGTTCTATTTTTACAGATGGATCCAAGGACGGCAGCACAGTCTCTAGTGCTGCTGTCATTGGATCCAAAACCGTCTCATCTCGCTTACCAGACCATAGCTCCATTTTCACTGCTGAAGCCAAGGCAATATTAACTGCTTTGGAATATATCCATAAACAGTACGGTTGTAAACGGTTCATCATCTTTTCAGATTCATTATCGTGTCTACAGGCAATCAAATCTAGCTCTTCGCATAATCCATTCATTTTAGATATTTTAGAATTGTATAATGACCTTGCTACTGGCCAATACGACATCGTCTTTTGCTGGTTGCCCAGTCATGTTGGAATCACGGGTAACACTATGGCTGATGCTGCAGCAAAGGCAGCTCTCAACAAATCTGTGACACCACTTCTACTACCATACAGTGACTATAAACCTGTTATTAGATCCTATATCAAAGACCTAATGCAGAAGAAGTGGGACACTCAAGTGGGTATAAATAAATTACATGCAATTAAAGCAGATATTGGTTATACCTACTTGGGCTGTCAGTCGAGATTTGAAGAAGTCGTATTAAGACGATGTCGTATTGGCCATTCTCGTTATACTCATGAATATTTGTTAAAAGGTGAGGATCCTCCATTCTGTATCCCTTGTGATGAAAGAATCACAGTCAAGCATGTCCTGCTTGACTGTGTTGATTTTTCCATCACAAGGGACAATTATTTCCAGGTTTCATCTATGAAGGATCTTTTTAAGGTAAGTTCTCATTTAATTATTGCTTTTTTAAAAGAAATAGAATTGATTGATAAATTTTGATATGTATTGTAAAAAGTATGTGCTTTTAATTTGGTAAAATGATTATATAACTGTGATTGTTAGTGGCTGTACCTTCAAAGGGGGTTGAAGTAGCGTAAAATAATTGTCCCCCTGAGAGGGTACATAAGTCCTATTTTCATTCAAAGTATTTTTCATTTTCCATGTTTTTAATCGTAGAATTCTTGTTGTTTTTAACTGATTTGGCTTAAACTTGCTGACAATCACCAGTAGCCAGAGCGATGGTGTAAATCCTGCTGGGTTACCATGTAGGTAGCAGAAGTATCGTAAGTCCCCATGGTACCTAGTATGGTGTCCTACCTTTGGCTATTGGTGATCTATAGCCCATTTTTATTGTGTATTGTTATGAATTGTTACAAATTTTATTATGTTATGCTAGTTTTACAATCTACATCTGTGATGGTCTAGTGTTTTTACTGTCCTTTGTCGACAGATTTTAATGTCTTTATTTATGTATTATTACTGTCCAACTTGATTTAGTCACGATATGGCTGAAATATTGCCGATGTGACTATAAATCTTAACTCACTCACTCACTCACTCTTGCTCACTGATAAATATCACCTTGGCTTGGGCACTGACGTCTTTGTCTAGTAGTTGAGATGCACGTAAAGAGCAATATTTAGAGTTCCTTCAATAATCATTTCAACATATTTTAATGACCACAGTGTAAAACAGTGGATTCCATCTCCTTAGGAAACATCTCCATTTATTACCGTTAGGTTGGCATGTTCAACTTCTGATTGGTAGTATATATTGGTATGAACACTGACGTGTGCGTGTGTGCGTGTGCGTTCGCGTGTATGTGTGTGTGTGCGCGCTTGTGTGTTTGTGTGTGTGTGTGTGTGTGGTTGTTGAGAAACATGTTAAATGGACTTTTTTTGATTTCCCATTACCAATTATTACAAATCTTTTCATGACAACATTGATAACTATAATGAAAAAGGCAGCGTGTGTACATCCCTTTGGAAAGTACAACTAACCCACATTACAAAGGACGGCAAGACATGTTTCCTTGTTTGCAATGTGTATTTGAAATAGACGAAGATTGTAAGATATTTGTTGTTCAACTCATTTGATGGCCTACAAACATTAAATAATTATTAATAATAATATACATTTTTTCATGAATTGCGTTGCATTATCTCAAACAGAATATGACCTTTAAAATTACCCTTCATAAAACATGTCTGTTTGAAAAGATTTCCTTTTGTAGTTTACATTTAAAATTGGGATAACCTGTGTGCAAGTGTTATGTAATGTATACATGTAGCGTCTTACGAACACATTATTTTATTCACACTGCATTGATAGTATGGCACTATTCGTATCTGTTTTGTCAGTCTCTGTGTGTGTAATACATAATGATGAAAGTACGAACTTACCTTACACAACCATAACGGAACTAACTGTATATAACAGTGTTGACTGTATAGCTAATCTCAACTTGTACATGCCATTTTGAAATGGTCACCTATTCTCCGTTTATAAAAACATGGACACGGACACTCACCTACACCAACTTTCCTTCTACACCTCCTGCCTCTGAATCCACGTCGACATAAACATTTCCATTTCAAGGGTCCAATCTGCTTGCAAGTGCCCCCATTGCGGCAACGTCTTTTATGACACCGACCTTGGCGAAAACAAGAGCAAAAGGTGCTTACTTTACAGATTGTGTTGATTCAACTTATAACATACTGCAGGTCCATAATATCAGTCACGGGCATGTTCTTGCTCACTGATAAATATCACCTTGGCTTGGGCACTGACGTCTTTGTCTAGTAGTTGAGATGCACGTAAAGAGCAATATTTAGAGTTCCTTCAATAATCATTTCAACATATTTTAATGACCACAGTGTAAAACAGTGGATTCCATCTCCTTAGGAAACATCTCCATTTATTACCGTTAGGTTTGCATGTTCAACTTCTGTTTGGTAGTATATATTGGTGTGAACACTGACGTGTGCGTGTGTGCGTGTGCGTTCGCGTGTATGTGTGTGTGTGCGCGCGTGTGTGTTTGTGTGTGTGTGTGTGGTTGTTGAGAAACATGTTAAATGGACTTTTTTTGATTTCCCATTACCAATTATTACAAATCTTTTCATGACAACATTGATAACTATAATGAAAAAGGCAGCGTGTGTACATCCCTTTGGAAAGTACAACTAACCCACATTACAAAGGACGGCAAGACATGTTTCCTTGTTTGCAATGTGTATTTGAAATAGACGAAGATTGTAAGATATTTGTTGTTCAACTCATTTGATGGCCTACAAACATTAAATAATTATTAATAATAATATACATTTTTTCATGAATTGCGTTGCATTATCTCAAACAGAATATGACCTTTAAAATTACCCTTCATAAAACATGTCTGTTTGAAAAGATTTCCTTTTGTAGTTTACATTTAAAATTGGGATAACCTGTGTGCAAGTGTTATGTAATGTATACATGTAGCGTCTTACGAACACATTATTTTATTCACACTGCATTGATAGTATGGCACTATTCGTATCTGTTTTGTCAGTCTCTGTGTGTGTAATACATAATGATGAAAGTACGAACTTACCTTACACAACCATAACGGAACTAACTGTATATAACAGTGTTGACTGTATAGCTAATCTCAACTTGTACATGCCATTTTGAAATGGTCACCTATTCTCCGTTTATAAAAACATGGACACGGACACTCACCTACACCAACTTTCCTTCTACACCTCCTGCCTCTGAATCCACGTCGACATAAACATTTCCATTTCAAGGGTCCAATCTGCTTGCAAGTGCCCCCATTGCGGCAACGTCTTTTATGACACCGACCTTGGCGAAAACAAGAGCAAAAGGTGCTTACTTTACAGATTGTGTTGATTCAACTTATAACATACTGCAGGTCCATAATATCAGTCACGGGCATGTTCTTGCTCACTGATAAATATCACCTTGGCTTGGGCACTGACGTCTTTGTCTAGTAGTTGAGATGCACGTAAAGAGCAATATTTAGAGTTCCTTCAATAATCATTTCAACATATTTTAATGACCACAGTGTAAAACAGTGGATTCCATCTCCTTAGGAAACATCTCCATTTATTACCGTTAGGTTTGCATGTTCAACTTCTGTTTGGTAGTATATATTGGTGTGAACACTGACGTGTGCGTGTGTGCGTGTGCGTTCGCGTGTATGTGTGTGTGTGCGCGCGTGTGTGTTTGTGTGTGTGTGTGTGTGGTTGTTGAGAAACATGTTAAATGGACTTTTTTTGATTTCCCATTACCAATTATTACAAATCTTTTCATGACAACATTGATAACTATAATGAAAAAAGGCAGCGTGTGTACATCCCTTTGGAAAGTACAACTAACCCACATTACAAAGGACGGCAAGACATGTTTCCTTGTTTGCAATGTGTATTTGAAATAGACGAAGATTGTAAGATATTTGTTGTTCAACTCATTTGATGGCCTACAAACATTAAATAATTATTAATAATAATATACATTTTTTCATGAATTGCGTTGCATTATCTCAAACAGAATATGACCTTTAAAATTACCCTTCATAAAACATGTCTGTTTGAAAAGATTTCCTTTTGTAGTTTACATTTAAAATTGGGATAACCTGTGTGCAAGTGTTATGTAATGTATACATGTAGCGTCTTACGAACACATTATTTTATTCACACTGCATTGATAGTATGGCACTATTCGTATCTGTTTTGTCAGTCTCTGTGTGTGTAATACATAATGATGAAAGTACGAACTTACCTTACACAACCATAACGGAACTAACTGTATATAACAGTGTTGACTGTATAGCTAATCTCAACTTGTACATGCCATTTTGAAATGGTCACCTATTCTCCGTTTATAAAAACATGGACACGGACACTCACCTACACCAACTTTCCTTCTACACCTCCTGCCTCTGAATCCACGTCGACATAAACATTTCCATTTCAAGGGTCCAATCTGCTTGCAAGTGCCCCCATTGCGGCAACGTCTTTTATGACACCGACCTTGGCGAAAACAAGAGCAAAAGGTGCTTACTTTACAGATTGTGTTGATTCAACTTATAACATACTGCAGGTCCATAATATCAGTCACGGGCATGTTCTTGCTCACTGATAAATATCACCTTGGCTTGGGCACTGACGTCTTTGTCTAGTAGTTGAGATGCACGTAAAGAGCAATATTTAGAGTTCCTTCAATAATCATTTCAACATATTTTAATGACCACAGTGTAAAACAGTGGATTCCATCTCCTTAGGAAACATCTCCATTTATTACCGTTAGGTTTGCATGTTCAACTTCTGTTTGGTAGTATATATTGGTGTGAACACTGACGTGTGCGTGTGTGCGTGTGCGTTCGCGTGTATGTGTGTGTGTGCGCGCGTGTGTGTTTGTGTGTGTGTGTGTGGTTGTTGAGAAACATGTTAAATGGACTTTTTTTGATTTCCCATTACCAATTATTACAAATCTTTTCATGACAACATTGATAACTATAATGAAAAAGGCAGCGTGTGTACATCCCTTTGGAAAGTACAACTAACCCACATTACAAAGGACGGCAAGACATGTTTCCTTGTTTGCAATGTGTATTTGAAATAGACGAAGACTGTAAGATATTTGTTGTTCAACTCATTTGATGGCCTACAAACATTAAATAATTATTAATAATAATATACATTTTTTCATGAATTGCGTTGCATTATCTCAAACAGAATATGACCTTTAAAATTACCCTTCATAAAACATGTCTGTTTGAAAAGATTTCCTTTTGTAGTTTACATTTAAAATTGGGATAACCTGTGTGCAAGTGTTATGTAATGTATACATGTAGCGTCTTACGAACACATTATTTTATTCACACTGCATTGATAGTATGGCACTATTCGTATCTGTTTTGTCAGTCTCTGTGTGTGTAATACATAATGATGAAAGTACGAACTTACCTTACACAACCATAACGGAACTAACTGTATATAACAGTGTTGACTGTATAGCTAATCTCAACTTGTACATGCCATTTTGAAATGGTCACCTATTCTCCGTTTATAAAAACATGGACACGGACACTCACCTACACCAACTTTCCTTCTACACCTCCTGCCTCTGAATCCACGTCGACATAAACATTTCCATTTCAAGGGTCCAATCTGCTTGCAAGTGCCCCCATTGCGGCAACGTCTTTTATGACACCGACCTTGGCGAAAACAAGAGCAAAAGGTGCTTACTTTACAGATTGTGTTGATTCAACTTATAACATACTGCAGGTCCATAATATCAGTCACGGGCATGTTCTTGCTCACTGATAAATATCACCTTGGCTTGGGCACTGACGTCTTTGTCTAGTAGTTGAGATGCACGTAAAGAGCAATATTTAGAGTTCCTTCAATAATCATTTCAACATATTTTAATGACCACAGTGTAAAACAGTGGATTCCATCTCCTTAGGAAACATCTCCATTTATTACCGTTAGGTTTGCATGTTCAACTTCTGTTTGGTAGTATATATTGGTGTGAACACTGACGTGTGCGTGTGTGCGTGTGCGTTCGCGTGTATGTGTGTGTGTGCGCGCGTGTGTGTTTGTGTGTGTGTGTGTGGTTGTTGAGAAACATGTTAAATGGACTTTTTTTGATTTCCCATTACCAATTATTACAAATCTTTTCATGACAACATTGATAACTATAATGAAAAAGGCAGCGTGTGTACATCCCTTTGGAAAGTACAACTAACCCACATTACAAAGGACGGCAAGACATGTTTCCTTGTTTGCAATGTGTATTTGAAATAGACGAAGATTGTAAGATATTTGTTGTTCAACTCATTTGATGGCCTACAAACATTAAATAATTATTAATAATAATATACATTTTTTCATGAATTGCGTTGCATTATCTCAAACAGAATATGACCTTTAAAATTACCCTTCATAAAACATGTCTGTTTGAAAAGATTTCCTTTTGTAGTTTACATTTAAAATTGGGATAACCTGTGTGCAAGTGTTATGTAATGTATACATGTAGCGTCTTACGAACACATTATTTTATTCACACTGCATTGATAGTATGGCACTATTCGTATCTGTTTTGTCAGTCTCTGTGTGTGTAATACATAATGATGAAAGTACGAACTTACCTTACACAACCATAACGGAACTAACTGTATATAACAGTGTTGACTGTATAGCTAATCTCAACTTGTACATGCCATTTTGAAATGGTCACCTATTCTCCGTTTATAAAAACATGGACACGGACACTCACCTACACCAACTTTCCTTCTACACCTCCTGCCTCTGAATCCACGTCGACATAAACATTTCCATTTCAAGGGTCCAATCTGCTTGCAAGTGCCCCCATTGCGGCAACGTCTTTTATGACACCGACCTTGGCGAAAACAAGAGCAAAAGGTGCTTACTTTACAGATTGTGTTGATTCAACTTATAACATACTGCAGGTCCATAATATCAGTCACGGGCATGTTCTTGCTCACTGATAAATATCACCTTGGCTTGGGCACTGACGTCTTTGTCTAGTAGTTGAGATGCACGTAAAGAGCAATATTTAGAGTTCCTTCAATAATCATTTCAACATATTTTAATGACCACAGTGTAAAACAGTGGATTCCATCTCCTTAGGAAACATCTCCATTTATTACCGTTAGGTTTGCATGTTCAACTTCTGTTTGGTAGTATATATTGGTGTGAACACTGACGTGTGCGTGTGTGCGTGTGCGTTCGCGTGTATGTGTGTGTGTGCGCGCGTGTGTGTTTGTGTGTGTGTGTGTGGTTGTTGAGAAACATGTTAAATGGACTTTTTTTGATTTCCCATTACCAATTATTACAAATCTTTTCATGACAACATTGATAACTATAATGAAAAAGGCAGCGTGTGTACATCCCTTTGGAAAGTACAACTAACCCACATTACAAAGGACGGCAAGACATGTTTCCTTGTTTGCAATGTGTATTTGAAATAGACGAAGATTGTAAGATATTTGTTGTTCAACTCATTTGATGGCCTACAAACATTAAATAATTATTAATAATAATATACATTTTTTCATGAATTGCGTTGCATTATCTCAAACAGAATATGACCTTTAAAATTACCCTTCATAAAACATGTCTGTTTGAAAAGATTTCCTTTTGTAGTTTACATTTAAAATTGGGATAACCTGTGTGCAAGTGTTATGTAATGTATACATGTAGCGTCTTACGAACACATTATTTTATTCACACTGCATTGATAGTATGGCACTATTCGTATCTGTTTTGTCAGTCTCTGTGTGTGTAATACATAATGATGAAAGTACGAACTTACCTTACACAACCATAACGGAACTAACTGTATATAACAGTGTTGACTGTATAGCTAATCTCAACTTGTACATGCCATTTTGAAATGGTCACCTATTCTCCGTTTATAAAAACATGGACACGGACACTCACCTACACCAACTTTCCTTCTACACCTCCTGCCTCTGAATCCACGTCGACATAAACATTTCCATTTCAAGGGTCCAATCTGCTTGCAAGTGCCCCCATTGCGGCAACGTCTTTTATGACACCGACCTTGGCGAAAACAAGAGCAAAAGGTGCTTACTTTACAGATTGTGTTGATTCAACTTATAACATACTGCAGGTCCATAATATCAGTCACGGGCATGTTCTTGCTCACTGATAAATATCACCTTGGCTTGGGCACTGACGTCTTTGTCTAGTAGTTGAGATGCACGTAAAGAGCAATATTTAGAGTTCCTTCAATAATCATTTCAACATATTTTAATGACCACAGTGTAAAACAGTGGATTCCATCTCCTTAGGAAACATCTCCATTTATTACCGTTAGGTTTGCATGTTCAACTTCTGTTTGGTAGTATATATTGGTGTGAACACTGACGTGTGCGTGTGTGCGTGTGCGTTCGCGTGTATGTGTGTGTGTGCGCGCGTGTGTGTTTGTGTGTGTGTGTGTGGTTGTTGAGAAACATGTTAAATGGACTTTTTTTGATTTCCCATTACCAATTATTACAAATCTTTTCATGACAACATTGATAACTATAATGAAAAAGGCAGCGTGTGTACATCCCTTTGGAAAGTACAACTAACCCACATTACAAAGGACGGCAAGACATGTTTCCTTGTTTGCAATGTGTATTTGAAATAGACGAAGATTGTAAGATATTTGTTGTTCAACTCATTTGATGGCCTACAAACATTAAATAATTATTAATAATAATATACATTTTTTCATGAATTGCGTTGCATTATCTCAAACAGAATATGACCTTTAAAATTACCCTTCATAAAACATGTCTGTTTGAAAAGATTTCCTTTTGTAGTTTACATTTAAAATTGGGATAACCTGTGTGCAAGTGTTATGTAATGTATACATTTAGCGTCTTACGAACACATTATTTTATTCACACTGCATTGATAGTATGGCACTATTCGTATCTGTTTTGTCAGTCTCTGTGTGTGTAATACATAATGATGAAAGTACGAACTTACCTTACACAACCATAACGGAACTAACTGTATATAACAGTGTTGACTGTATAGCTAATCTCAACTTGTACATGCCATTTTGAAATGGTCACCTATTCTCCGTTTATAAAAACATGGACACGGACACTCACCTACACCAACTTTCCTTCTACACCTCCTGCCTCTGAATCCACGTCGACATAAACATTTCCATTTCAAGGGTCCAATCTGCTTGCAAGTGCCCCCATTGCGGCAACGTCTTTTATGACACCGACCTTGGCGAAAACAAGAGCAAAAGGTGCTTACTTTACAGATTGTGTTGATTCAACTTATAACATACTGCAGGTCCATAATATCAGTCACGGGCATGTTCTTGCTCACTGATAAATATCACCTTGGCTTGGGCACTGACGTCTTTGTCTAGTAGTTGAGATGCACGTAAAGAGCAATATTTAGAGTTCCTTCAATAATCATTTCAACATATTTTAATGACCACAGTGTAAAACAGTGGATTCCATCTCCTTAGGAAACATCTCCATTTATTACCGTTAGGTTTGCATGTTCAACTTCTGTTTGGTAGTATATATTGGTGTGAACACTGACGTGTGCGTGTGTGCGTGTGCGTTCGCGTGTATGTGTGTGTGTGCGCGCGTGTGTGTTTGTGTGTGTGTGTGTGGTTGTTGAGAAACATGTTAAATGGACTTTTTTTGATTTCCCATTACCAATTATTACAAATCTTTTCATGACAACATTGATAACTATAATGAAAAAGGCAGCGTGTGTACATCCCTTTGGAAAGTACAACTAACCCACATTACAAAGGACGGCAAGACATGTTTCCTTGTTTGCAATGTGTATTTGAAATAGACGAAGATTGTAAGATATTTGTTGTTCAACTCATTTGATGGCCTACAAACATTAAATAATTATTAATAATAATATACATTTTTTCATGAATTGCGTTGCATTATCTCAAACAGAATATGACCTTTAAAATTACCCTTCATAAAACATGTCTGTTTGAAAAGATTTCCTTTTGTAGTTTACATTTAAAATTGGGATAACCTGTGTGCAAGTGTTATGTAATGTATACATGTAGCGTCTTACGAACACATTATTTTATTCACACTGCATTGATAGTATGGCACTATTCGTATCTGTTTTGTCAGTCTCTGTGTGTGTAATACATAATGATGAAAGTACGAACTTACCTTACACAACCATAACGGAACTAACTGTATATAACAGTGTTGACTGTATAGCTAATCTCAACTTGTACATGCCATTTTGAAATGGTCACCTATTCTCCGTTTATAAAAACATGGACACGGACACTCACCTACACCAACTTTCCTTCTACACCTCCTGCCTCTGAATCCACGTCGACATAAACATTTCCATTTCAAGGGTCCAATCTGCTTGCAAGTGCCCCCATTGCGGCAACGTCTTTTATGACACCGACCTTGGCGAAAACAAGAGCAAAAGGTGCTTACTTTACAGATTGTGTTGATTCAACTTATAACATACTGCAGGTCCATAATATCAGTCACGGGCATGTTCTTGCTCACTGATAAATATCACCTTGGCTTGGGCACTGACGTCTTTGTCTAGTAGTTGAGATGCACGTAAAGAGCAATATTTAGAGTTCCTTCAATAATCATTTCAACATATTTTAATGACCACAGTGTAAAACAGTGGATTCCATCTCCTTAGGAAACATCTCCATTTATTACCGTTAGGTTTGCATGTTCAACTTCTGTTTGGTAGTATATATTGGTGTGAACACTGACGTGTGCGTGTGTGCGTGTGCGTTCGCGTGTATGTGTGTGTGTGCGCGCGTGTGTGTTTGTGTGTGTGTGTGTGGTTGTTGAGAAACATGTTAAATGGACTTTTTTTGATTTCCCATTACCAATTATTACAAATCTTTTCATGACAACATTGATAACTATAATGAAAAAGGCAGCGTGTGTACATCCCTTTGGAAAGTACAACTAACCCACATTACAAAGGACGGCAAGACATGTTTCCTTGTTTGCAATGTGTATTTGAAATAGACGAAGATTGTAAGATATTTGTTGTTCAACTCATTTGATGGCCTACAAACATTAAATAATTATTAATAATAATATACATTTTTTCATGAATTGCGTTGCATTATCTCAAACAGAATATGACCTTTAAAATTACCCTTCATAAAACATGTCTGTTTGAAAAGATTTCCTTTTGTAGTTTACATTTAAAATTGGGATAACCTGTGTGCAAGTGTTATGTAATGTATACATTTAGCGTCTTACGAACACATTATTTTATTCACACTGCATTGATAGTATGGCACTATTCGTATCTGTTTTGTCAGTCTCTGTGTGTGTAATACATAATGATGAAAGTACGAACTTACCTTACACAACCATAACGGAACTAACTGTATATAACAGTGTTGACTGTATAGCTAATCTCAACTTGTACATGCCATTTTGAAATGGTCACCTATTCTCCGTTTATAAAAACATGGACACGGACACTCACCTACACCAACTTTCCTTCTACACCTCCTGCCTCTGAATCCACGTCGACATAAACATTTCCATTTCAAGGGTCCAATCTGCTTGCAAGTGCCCCCATTGCGGCAACGTCTTTTATGACACCGACCTTGGCGAAAACAAGAGCAAAAGGTGCTTACTTTACAGATTGTGTTGATTCAACTTATAACATACTGCAGGTCCATAATATCAGTCACGGGCATGTTCTTGCTCACTGATAAATATCACCTTGGCTTGGGCACTGACGTCTTTGTCTAGTAGTTGAGATGCACGTAAAGAGCAATATTTAGAGTTCCTTCAATAATCATTTCAACATATTTTAATGACCACAGTGTAAAACAGTGGATTCCATCTCCTTAGGAAACATCTCCATTTATTACCGTTAGGTTTGCATGTTCAACTTCTGTTTGGTAGTATATATTGGTGTGAACACTGACGTGTGCGTGTGTGCGTGTGCGTTCGCGTGTATGTGTGTGTGTGCGCGCGTGTGTGTTTGTGTGTGTGTGTGTGGTTGTTGAGAAACATGTTAAATGGACTTTTTTTGATTTCCCATTACCAATTATTACAAATCTTTTCATGACAACATTGATAACTATAATGAAAAAGGCAGCGTGTGTACATCCCTTTGGAAAGTACAACTAACCCACATTACAAAGGACGGCAAGACATGTTTCCTTGTTTGCAATGTGTATTTGAAATAGACGAAGATTGTAAGATATTTGTTGTTCAACTCATTTGATGGCCTACAAACATTAAATAATTATTAATAATAATATACATTTTTTCATGAATTGCGTTGCATTATCTCAAACAGAATATGACCTTTAAAATTACCCTTCATAAAACATGTCTGTTTGAAAAGATTTCCTTTTGTAGTTTACATTTAAAATTGGGATAACCTGTGTGCAAGTGTTATGTAATGTATACATGTAGCGTCTTACGAACACATTATTTTATTCACACTGCATTGATAGTATGGCACTATTCGTATCTGTTTTGTCAGTCTCTGTGTGTGTAATACATAATGATGAAAGTACGAACTTACCTTACACAACCATAACGGAACTAACTGTATATAACAGTGTTGACTGTATAGCTAATCTCAACTTGTACATGCCATTTTGAAATGGTCACCTATTCTCCGTTTATAAAAACATGGACACGGACACTCACCTACACCAACTTTCCTTCTACACCTCCTGCCTCTGAATCCACGTCGACATAAACATTTCCATTTCAAGGGTCCAATCTGCTTGCAAGTGCCCCCATTGCGGCAACGTCTTTTATGACACCGACCTTGGCGAAAACAAGAGCAAAAGGTGCTTACTTTACAGATTGTGTTGATTCAACTTATAACATACTGCAGGTCCATAATATCAGTCACGGGCATGTTCTTGCTCACTGATAAATATCACCTTGGCTTGGGCACTGACGTCTTTGTCTAGTAGTTGAGATGCACGTAAAGAGCAATATTTAGAGTTCCTTCAATAATCATTTCAACATATTTTAATGACCACAGTGTAAAACAGTGGATTCCATCTCCTTAGGAAACATCTCCATTTATTACCGTTAGGTTTGCATGTTCAACTTCTGTTTGGTAGTATATATTGGTGTGAACACTGACGTGTGCGTGTGTGCGTGTGCGTTCGCGTGTATGTGTGTGTGTGCGCGCGTGTGTGTTTGTGTGTGTGTGTGTGGTTGTTGAGAAACATGTTAAATGGACTTTTTTTGATTTCCCATTACCAATTATTACAAATCTTTTCATGACAACATTGATAACTATAATGAAAAAGGCAGCGTGTGTACATCCCTTTGGAAAGTACAACTAACCCACATTACGAAGATTGTAAGATATTTGTTGTTCAACTCATTTGATGGCCTACAAACATTAAATAATTATTAATAATAATATACATTTTTTCATGAATTGCGTTGCATTATCTCAAACAGAATATGACCTTTAAAATTACCCTTCATAAAACATGTCTGTTTGAAAAGATTTCCTTTTGTAGTTTACATTTAAAATTGGGATAACCTGTGTGCAAGTGTTATGTAATGTATACATGTAGCGTCTTACGAACACATTATTTTATTCACACTGCATTGATAGTATGGCACTATTCGTATCTGTTTTGTCAGTCTCTGTGTGTGTAATACATAATGATGAAAGTACGAACTTACCTTACACAACCATAACGGAACTAACTGTATATAACAGTGTTGACTGTATAGCTAATCTCAACTTGTACATGCCATTTTGAAATGGTCACCTATTCTCCGTTTATAAAAACATGGACACGGACACTCACCTACACCAACTTTCCTTCTACACCTCCTGCCTCTGAATCCACGTCGACATAAACATTTCCATTTCAAGGGTCCAATCTGCTTGCAAGTGCCCCCATTGCGGCAACGTCTTTTATGACACCGACCTTGGCGAAAACAAGAGCAAAAGGTGCTTACTTTACAGATTGTGTTGATTCAACTTATAACATACTGCAGGTCCATAATATCAGTCACGGGCATGTTCTTGCTCACTGATAAATATCACCTTGGCTTGGGCACTGACGTCTTTGTCTAGTAGTTGAGATGCACGTAAAGAGCAATATTTAGAGTTCCTTCAATAATCATTTCAACATATTTTAATGACCACAGTGTAAAACAGTGGATTCCATCTCCTTAGGAAACATCTCCATTTATTACCGTTAGGTTTGCATGTTCAACTTCTGTTTGGTAGTATATATTGGTGTGAACACTGACGTGTGCGTGTGTGCGTGTGCGTTCGCGTGTATGTGTGTGTGTGCGCGCGTGTGTGTTTGTGTGTGTGTGTGTGGTTGTTGAGAAACATGTTAAATGGACTTTTTTTGATTTCCCATTACCAATTATTACAAATCTTTTCATGACAACATTGATAACTATAATGAAAAAGGCAGCGTGTGTACATCCCTTTGGAAAGTACAACTAACCCACATTACAAAGGACGGCAAGACATGTTTCCTTGTTTGCAATGTGTATTTGAAATAGACGAAGATTGTAAGATATTTGTTGTTCAACTCATTTGATGGCCTACAAACATTAAATAATTATTAATAATAATATACATTTTTTCATGAATTGCGTTGCATTATCTCAAACAGAATATGACCTTTAAAATTACCCTTCATAAAACATGTCTGTTTGAAAAGATTTCCTTTTGTAGTTTACATTTAAAATTGGGATAACCTGTGTGCAAGTGTTATGTAATGTATACATGTAGCGTCTTACGAACACATTATTTTATTCACACTGCATTGATAGTATGGCACTATTCGTATCTGTTTTGTCAGTCTCTGTGTGTGTAATACATAATGATGAAAGTACGAACTTACCTTACACACCCATAACGGAACTAACTGTATATAACAGTGTTGACTGTATAGCTAATCTCAACTTGTACATGCCATTTTGAAATGGTCACCTATTCTCCGTTTATAAAAACATGGACACGGACACTCACCTACACCAACTTTCCTTCTACACCTCCTGCCTCTGAATCCACGTCGACATAAACATTTCCATTTCAAGGGTCCAATCTGCTTGCAAGTGCCCCCATTGCGGCAACGTCTTTTATGACACCGACCTTGGCGAAAACAAGAGCAAAAGGTGCTTACTTTACAGATTGTGTTGATTCAACTTATAACATACTGCAGGTCCATAATATCAGTCACGGGCATGTTCTTGCTCACTGATAAATATCACCTTGGCTTGGGCACTGACGTCTTTGTCTAGTAGTTGAGATGCACGTAAAGAGCAATATTTAGAGTTCCTTCAATAATCATTTCAACATATTTTAATGACCACAGTGTAAAACAGTGGATTCCATCTCCTTAGGAAACATCTCCATTTATTACCGTTAGGTTTGCATGTTCAACTTCTGTTTGGTAGTATATATTGGTGTGAACACTGACGTGTGCGTGTGTGCGTGTGCGTTCGCGTGTATGTGTATGTGTGCGCGCGTGTGTGTTTGTGTGTGTGTGTGTGGTTGTTGAGAAACATGTTAAATGGACTTTTTTTGATTTCCCATTACCAATTATTACAAATCTTTTCATGACAACATTGATAACTATAATGAAAAAGGCAGCGTGTGTACATCCCTTTGGAAAGTACAACTAACCCACATTACGAAGATTGTAAGATATTTGTTGTTCAACTCATTTGATGGCCTACAAACATTAAATAATTATTAATAATAATATACATTTTTTCATGAATTGCGTTGCATTATCTCAAACAGAATATGACCTTTAAAATTACCCTTCATAAAACATGTCTGTTTGAAAAGATTTCCTTTTGTAGTTTACATTTAAAATTGGGATAACCTGTGTGCAAGTGTTATGTAATGTATACATGTAGCGTCTTACGAACACATTATTTTATTCACACTGCATTGATAGTATGGCACTATTCGTATCTGTTTTGTCAGTCTCTGTGTGTGTAATACATAATGATGAAAGTACGAACTTACCTTACACAACCATAACGGAACTAACTGTATATAACAGTGTTGACTGTATAGCTAATCTCAACTTGTACATGCCATTTTGAAATGGTCACCTATTCTCCGTTTATAAAAACATGGACACGGACACTCACCTACACCAACTTTCCTTCTACACCTCCTGCCTCTGAATCCACGTCGACATAAACATTTCCATTTCAAGGGTCCAATCTGCTTGCAAGTGCCCCCATTGCGGCAACGTCTTTTATGACACCGACCTTGGCGAAAACAAGAGCAAAAGGTGCTTACTTTACAGATTGTGTTGATTCAACTTATAACATACTGCAGGTCCATAATATCAGTCACGGGCATGTTCTTGCTCACTGATAAATATCACCTTGGCTTGGGCACTGACGTCTTTGTCTAGTAGTTGAGATGCACGTAAAGAGCAATATTTAGAGTTCCTTCAATAATCATTTCAACATATTTTAATGACCACAGTGTAAAACAGTGGATTCCATCTCCTTAGGAAACATCTCCATTTATTACCGTTAGGTTTGCATGTTCAACTTCTGTTTGGTAGTATATATTGGTGTGAACACTGACGTGTGCGTGTGTGCGTGTGCGTTCGCGTGTATGTGTGTGTGTGCGCGCGTGTGTGTTTGTGTGTGTGTGTGTGGTTGTTGAGAAACATGTTAAATGGACTTTTTTTGATTTCCCATTACCAATTATTACAAATCTTTTCATGACAACATTGATAACTATAATGAAAAAGGCAGCGTGTGTACATCCCTTTGGAAAGTACAACTAACCCACATTACAAAGGACGGCAAGACATGTTTCCTTGTTTGCAATGTGTATTTGAAATAGACGAAGATTGTAAGATATTTGTTGTTCAACTCATTTGATGGCCTACAAACATTAAATAATTATTAATAATAATATACATTTTTTCATGAATTGCGTTGCATTATCTCAAACAGAATATGACCTTTAAAATTACCCTTCATAAAACATGTCTGTTTGAAAAGATTTCCTTTTGTAGTTTACATTTAAAATTGGGATAACCTGTGTGCAAGTGTTATGTAATGTATACATGTAGCGTCTTACGAACACATTATTTTATTCACACTGCATTGATAGTATGGCACTATTCGTATCTGTTTTGTCAGTCTCTGTGTGTGTAATACATAATGATGAAAGTACGAACTTACCTTACACAACCATAACGGAACTAACTGTATATAACAGTGTTGACTGTATAGCTAATCTCAACTTGTACATGCCATTTTGAAATGGTCACCTATTCTCCGTTTATAAAAACATGGACACGGACACTCACCTACACCAACTTTCCTTCTACACCTCCTGCCTCTGAATCCACGTCGACATAAACATTTCCATTTCAAGGGTCCAATCTGCTTGCAAGTGCCCCCATTGCGGCAACGTCTTTTATGACACCGACCTTGGCGAAAACAAGAGCAAAAGGTGCTTACTTTACAGATTGTGTTGATTCAACTTATAACATACTGCAGGTCCATAATATCAGTCACGGGCATGTTCTTGCTCACTGATAAATATCACCTTGGCTTGGGCACTGACGTCTTTGTCTAGTAGTTGAGATGCACGTAAAGAGCAATATTTAGAGTTCCTTCAATAATCATTTCAACATATTTTAATGACCACAGTGTAAAACAGTGGATTCCATCTCCTTAGGAAACATCTCCATTTATTACCGTTAGGTTTGCATGTTCAACTTCTGTTTGGTAGTATATATTGGTGTGAACACTGACGTGTGCGTGTGTGCGTGTGCGTTCGCGTGTATGTGTGTGTGTGCGCGCGTGTGTGTTTGTGTGTGTGTGTGTGGTTGTTGAGAAACATGTTAAATGGACTTTTTTTGATTTCCCATTACCAATTATTACAAATCTTTTCATGACAACATTGATAACTATAATGAAAAAGGCAGCGTGTGTACATCCCTTTGGAAAGTACAACTAACCCACATTACAAAGGACGGCAAGACATGTTTCCTTGTTTGCAATGTGTATTTGAAATAGACGAAGATTGTAAGATATTTGTTGTTCAACTCATTTGATGGCCTACAAACATTAAATAATTATTAATAATAATATACATTTTTTCATGAATTGCGTTGCATTATCTCAAACAGAATATGACCTTTAAAATTACCCTTCATAAAACATGTCTGTTTGAAAAGATTTCCTTTTGTAGTTTACATTTAAAATTGGGATAACCTGTGTGCAAGTGTTATGTAATGTATACATGTAGCGTCTTACGAACACATTATTTTATTCACACTGCATTGATAGTATGGCACTATTCGTATCTGTTTTGTCAGTCTCTGTGTGTGTAATACATAATGATGAAAGTACGAACTTACCTTACACAACCATAACGGAACTAACTGTATATAACAGTGTTGACTGTATAGCTAATCTCAACTTGTACATGCCATTTTGAAATGGTCACCTATTCTCCGTTTATAAAAACATGGACACGGACACTCACCTACACCAACTTTCCTTCTACACCTCCTGCCTCTGAATCCACGTCGACATAAACATTTCCATTTCAAGGGTCCAATCTGCTTGCAAGTGCCCCCATTGCGGCAACGTCTTTTATGACACCGACCTTGGCGAAAACAAGAGCAAAAGGTGCTTACTTTACAGATTGTGTTGATTCAACTTATAACATACTGCAGGTCCATAATATCAGTCACGGGCATGTTCTTGCTCACTGATAAATATCACCTTGGCTTGGGCACTGACGTCTTTGTCTAGTAGTTGAGATGCACGTAAAGAGCAATATTTAGAGTTCCTTCAATAATCATTTCAACATATTTTAATGACCACAGTGTAAAACAGTGGATTCCATCTCCTTAGGAAACATCTCCATTTATTACCGTTAGGTTTGCATGTTCAACTTCTGTTTGGTAGTATATATTGGTGTGAACACTGACGTGTGCGTGTGTGCGTGTGCGTTCGCGTGTATGTGTGTGTGTGCGCGCGTGTGTGTTTGTGTGTGTGTGTGTGGTTGTTGAGAAACATGTTAAATGGACTTTTTTTGATTTCCCATTACCAATTATTACAAATCTTTTCATGACAACATTGATAACTATAATGAAAAAGGCAGCGTGTGTACATCCCTTTGGAAAGTACAACTAACCCACATTACAAAGGACGGCAAGACATGTTTCCTTGTTTGCAATGTGTATTTGAAATAGACGAAGATTGTAAGATATTTGTTGTTCAACTCATTTGATGGCCTACAAACATTAAATAATTATTAATAATAATATACATTTTTTCATGAATTGCGTTGCATTATCTCAAACAGAATATGACCTTTAAAATTACCCTTCATAAAACATGTCTGTTTGAAAAGATTTCCTTTTGTAGTTTACATTTAAAATTGGGATAACCTGTGTGCAAGTGTTATGTAATGTATACATGTAGCGTCTTACGAACACATTATTTTATTCACACTGCATTGATAGTATGGCACTATTCGTATCTGTTTTGTCAGTCTCTGTGTGTGTAATACATAATGATGAAAGTACGAACTTACCTTACACACCCATAACGGAACTAACTGTATATAACAGTGTTGACTGTATAGCTAATCTCAACTTGTACATGCCATTTTGAAATGGTCACCTATTCTCCGTTTATAAAAACATGGACACGGACACTCACCTACACCAACTTTCCTTCTACACCTCCTGCCTCTGAATCCACGTCGACATAAACATTTCCATTTCAAGGGTCCAATCTGCTTGCAAGTGCCCCCATTGCGGCAACGTCTTTTATGACACCGACCTTGGCGAAAACAAGAGCAAAAGGTGCTTACTTTACAGATTGTGTTGATTCAACTTATAACATACTGCAGGTCCATAATATCAGTCACGGGCATGTTCTTGCTCACTGATAAATATCACCTTGGCTTGGGCACTGACGTCTTTGTCTAGTAGTTGAGATGCACGTAAAGAGCAATATTTAGAGTTCCTTCAATAATCATTTCAACATATTTTAATGACCACAGTGTAAAACAGTGGATTCCATCTCCTTAGGAAACATCTCCATTTATTACCGTTAGGTTTGCATGTTCAACTTCTGTTTGGTAGTATATATTGGTGTGAACACTGACGTGTGCGTGTGTGCGTGTGCGTTCGCGTGTATGTGTGTGTGTGCGCGCGTGTGTGTTTGTGTGTGTGTGTGTGGTTGTTGAGAAACATGTTAAATGGACTTTTTTTGATTTCCCATTACCAATTATTACAAATCTTTTCATGACAACATTGATAACTATAATGAAAAAGGCAGCGTGTGTACATCCCTTTGGAAAGTACAACTAACCCACATTACAAAGGACGGCAAGACATGTTTCCTTGTTTGCAATGTGTATTTGAAATAGACGAAGATTGTAAGATATTTGTTGTTCAACTCATTTGATGGCCTACAAACATTAAATAATTATTAATAATAATATACATTTTTTCATGAATTGCGTTGCATTATCTCAAACAGAATATGACCTTTAAAATTACCCTTCATAAAACATGTCTGTTTGAAAAGATTTCCTTTTGTAGTTTACATTTAAAATTGGGATAACCTGTGTGCAAGTGTTATGTAATGTATACATGTAGCGTCTTACGAACACATTATTTTATTCACACTGCATTGATAGTATGGCACTATTCGTATCTGTTTTGTCAGTCTCTGTGTGTGTAATACATAATGATGAAAGTACGAACTTACCTTACACAACCATAACGGAACTAACTGTATATAACAGTGTTGACTGTATAGCTAATCTCAACTTGTACATGCCATTTTGAAATGGTCACCTATTCTCCGTTTATAAAAACATGGACACGGACACTCACCTACACCAACTTTCCTTCTACACCTCCTGCCTCTGAATCCACGTCGACATAAACATTTCCATTTCAAGGGTCCAATCTGCTTGCAAGTGCCCCCATTGCGGCAACGTCTTTTATGACACCGACCTTGGCGAAAACAAGAGCAAAAGGTGCTTACTTTACAGATTGTGTTGATTCAACTTATAACATACTGCAGGTCCATAATATCAGTCACGGGCATGTTCTTGCTCACTGATAAATATCACCTTGGCTTGGGCACTGACGTCTTTGTCTAGTAGTTGAGATGCACGTAAAGAGCAATATTTAGAGTTCCTTCAATAATCATTTCAACATATTTTAATGACCACAGTGTAAAACAGTGGATTCCATCTCCTTAGGAAACATCTCCATTTATTACCGTTAGGTTTGCATGTTCAACTTCTGTTTGGTAGTATATATTGGTGTGAACACTGACGTGTGCGTGTGTGCGTGTGCGTTCGCGTGTATGTGTGTGTGTGCGCGCGTGTGTGTTTGTGTGTGTGTGTGTGGTTGTTGAGAAACATGTTAAATGGACTTTTTTTGATTTCCCATTACCAATTATTACAAATCTTTTCATGACAACATTGATAACTATAATGAAAAAGGCAGCGTGTGTACATCCCTTTGGAAAGTACAACTAACCCACATTACAAAGGACGGCAAGACATGTTTCCTTGTTTGCAATGTGTATTTGAAATAGACGAAGACTGTAAGATATTTGTTGTTCAACTCATTTGATGGCCTACAAACATTAAATAATTATTAATAATAATATACATTTTTTCATGAATTGCGTTGCATTATCTCAAACAGAATATGACCTTTAAAATTACCCTTCATAAAACATGTCTGTTTGAAAAGATTTCCTTTTGTAGTTTACATTTAAAATTGGGATAACCTGTGTGCAAGTGTTATGTAATGTATACATGTAGCGTCTTACGAACACATTATTTTATTCACACTGCATTGATAGTATGGCACTATTCGTATCTGTTTTGTCAGTCTCTGTGTGTGTAATACATAATGATGAAAGTACGAACTTACCTTACACAACCATAACGGAACTAACTGTATATAACAGTGTTGACTGTATAGCTAATCTCAACTTGTACATGCCATTTTGAAATGGTCACCTATTCTCCGTTTATAAAAACATGGACACGGACACTCACCTACACCAACTTTCCTTCTACACCTCCTGCCTCTGAATCCACGTCGACATAAACATTTCCATTTCAAGGGTCCAATCTGCTTGCAAGTGCCCCCATTGCGGCAACGTCTTTTATGACACCGACCTTGGCGAAAACAAGAGCAAAAGGTGCTTACTTTACAGATTGTGTTGATTCAACTTATAACATACTGCAGGTCCATAATATCAGTCACGGGCATGTTCTTGCTCACTGATAAATATCACCTTGGCTTGGGCACTGACGTCTTTGTCTAGTAGTTGAGATGCACGTAAAGAGCAATATTTAGAGTTCCTTCAATAATCATTTCAACATATTTTAATGACCACAGTGTAAAACAGTGGATTCCATCTCCTTAGGAAACATCTCCATTTATTACCGTTAGGTTTGCATGTTCAACTTCTGTTTGGTAGTATATATTGGTGTGAACACTGACGTGTGCGTGTGTGCGTGTGCGTTCGCGTGTATGTGTGTGTGTGCGCGCGTGTGTGTTTGTGTGTGTGTGTGTGGTTGTTGAGAAACATGTTAAATGGACTTTTTTTGATTTCCCATTACCAATTATTACAAATCTTTTCATGACAACATTGATAACTATAATGAAAAAGGCAGCGTGTGTACATCCCTTTGGAAAGTACAACTAACCCACATTACAAAGGACGGCAAGACATGTTTCCTTGTTTGCAATGTGTATTTGAAATAGACGAAGATTGTAAGATATTTGTTGTTCAACTCATTTGATGGCCTACAAACATTAAATAATTATTAATAATAATATACATTTTTTCATGAATTGCGTTGCATTATCTCAAACAGAATATGACCTTTAAAATTACCCTTCATAAAACATGTCTGTTTGAAAAGATTTCCTTTTGTAGTTTACATTTAAAATTGGGATAACCTGTGTGCAAGTGTTATGTAATGTATACATTTAGCGTCTTACGAACACATTATTTTATTCACACTGCATTGATAGTATGGCACTATTCGTATCTGTTTTGTCAGTCTCTGTGTGTGTAATACATAATGATGAAAGTACGAACTTACCTTACACAACCATAACGGAACTAACTGTATATAACAGTGTTGACTGTATAGCTAATCTCAACTTGTACATGCCATTTTGAAATGGTCACCTATTCTCCGTTTATAAAAACATGGACACGGACACTCACCTACACCAACTTTCCTTCTACACCTCCTGCCTCTGAATCCACGTCGACATAAACATTTCCATTTCAAGGGTCCAATCTGCTTGCAAGTGCCCCCATTGCGGCAACGTCTTTTATGACACCGACCTTGGCGAAAACAAGAGCAAAAGGTGCTTACTTTACAGATTGTGTTGATTCAACTTATAACATACTGCAGGTCCATAATATCAGTCACGGGCATGTTCTTGCTCACTGATAAATATCACCTTGGCTTGGGCACTGACGTCTTTGTCTAGTAGTTGAGATGCACGTAAAGAGCAATATTTAGAGTTCCTTCAATAATCATTTCAACATATTTTAATGACCACAGTGTAAAACAGTGGATTCCATCTCCTTAGGAAACATCTCCATTTATTACCGTTAGGTTTGCATGTTCAACTTCTGTTTGGTAGTATATATTGGTGTGAACACTGACGTGTGCGTGTGTGCGTGTGCGTTCGCGTGTATGTGTGTGTGTGCGCGCGTGTGTGTTTGTGTGTGTGTGTGTGGTTGTTGAGAAACATGTTAAATGGACTTTTTTTGATTTCCCATTACCAATTATTACAAATCTTTTCATGACAACATTGATAACTATAATGAAAAAGGCAGCGTGTGTACATCCCTTTGGAAAGTACAACTAACCCACATTACAAAGGACGGCAAGACATGTTTCCTTGTTTGCAATGTGTATTTGAAATAGACGAAGATTGTAAGATATTTGTTGTTCAACTCATTTGATGGCCTACAAACATTAAATAATTATTAATAATAATATACATTTTTTCATGAATTGCGTTGCATTATCTCAAACAGAATATGACCTTTAAAATTACCCTTCATAAAACATGTCTGTTTGAAAAGATTTCCTTTTGTAGTTTACATTTAAAATTGGGATAACCTGTGTGCAAGTGTTATGTAATGTATACATGTAGCATCTTACGAACACATTATTTTATTCACACTGCATTGATAGTATGGCACTATTCGTATCTGTTTTGTCAGTCTCTGTGTGTGTAATACATAATGATGAAAGTACGAACTTACCTTACACAACCATAACGGAACTAACTGTATATAACAGTGTTGACTGTATAGCTAATCTCAACTTGTACATGCCATTTTGAAATGGTCACCTATTCTCCGTTTATAAAAACATGGACACGGACACTCACCTACACCAACTTTCCTTCTACACCTCCTGCCTCTGAATCCACGTCGACATAAACATTTCCATTTCAAGGGTCCAATCTGCTTGCAAGTGCCCCCATTGCGGCAACGTCTTTTATGACACCGACCTTGGCGAAAACAAGAGCAAAAGGTGCTTACTTTACAGATTGTGTTGATTCAACTTATAACATACTGCAGGTCCATAATATCAGTCACGGGCATGTTCTTGCTCACTGATAAATATCACCTTGGCTTGGGCACTGACGTCTTTGTCTAGTAGTTGAGATGCACGTAAAGAGCAATATTTAGAGTTCCTTCAATAATCATTTCAACATATTTTAATGACCACAGTGTAAAACAGTGGATTCCATCTCCTTAGGAAACATCTCCATTTATTACCGTTAGGTTTGCATGTTCAACTTCTGTTTGGTAGTATATATTGGTGTGAACACTGACGTGTGCGTGTGTGCGTGTGCGTTCGCGTGTATGTGTGTGTGTGCGCGCGCGTGTGTTTGTGTGTGTGTGTGTGGTTGTTGAGAAACATGTTAAATGGACTTTTTTTGATTTCCCATTACCAATTATTACAAATCTTTTCATGACAACATTGATAACTATAATGAAAAAGGCAGCGTGTGTACATCCCTTTGGAAAGTACAACTAACCCACATTACAAAGGACGGCAAGACATGTTTCCTTGTTTGCAATGTGTATTTGAAATAGACGAAGATTGTAAGATATTTGTTGTTCAACTCATTTGATGGCCTACAAACATTAAATAATTATTAATAATAATATACATTTTTTCATGAATTGCGTTACATTATCTCAAACAGAATATGACCTTTAAAATTACCCTTCATAAAACATGTCTGTTTGAAAAGATTTCCTTTTGTAGTTTACATTTAAAATTGGGATAACCTGTGTGCAAGTGTTATGTAATGTATACATGTAGCGTCTTACGAACACATTATTTTATTCACACTGCATTGATAGTATGGCACTATTCGTATCTGTTTTGTCAGTCTCTGTGTGTGTAATACATAATGATGAAAGTACGAACTTACCTTACACAACCATAACGGAACTAACTGTATATAACAGTGTTGACTGTATAGCTAATCTCAACTTGTACATGCCATTTTGAAATGGTCACCTATTCTCCGTTTATAAAAACATGGACACGGACACTCACCTACACCAACTTTCCTTCTACACCTCCTGCCTCTGAATCCACGTCGACATAAACATTTCCATTTCAAGGGTCCAATCTGCTTGCAAGTGCCCCCATTGCGGCAACGTCTTTTATGACACCGACCTTGGCGAAAACAAGAGCAAAAGGTGCTTACTTTACAGATTGTGTTGATTCAACTTATAACATACTGCAGGTCCATAATATCAGTCACGGGCATGTTCTTGCTCACTGATAAATATCACCTTGGCTTGGGCACTGACGTCTTTGTCTAGTAGTTGAGATGCACGTAAAGAGCAATATTTAGAGTTCCTTCAATAATCATTTCAACATATTTTAATGACCACAGTGTAAAACAGTGGATTCCATCTCCTTAGGAAACATCTCCATTTATTACCGTTAGGTTTGCATGTTCAACTTCTGTTTGGTAGTATATATTGGTGTGAACACTGACGTGTGCGTGTGTGCGTGTGCGTTCGCGTGTATGTGTGTGTGTGCGCGCGTGTGTGTTTGTGTGTGTGTGTGTGGTTGTTGAGAAACATGTTAAATGGACTTTTTTTGATTTCCCATTACCAATTATTACAAATCTTTTCATGACAACATTGATAACTATAATGAAAAAGGCAGCGTGTGTACATCCCTTTGGAAAGTACAACTAACCCACATTACAAAGGACGGCAAGACATGTTTCCTTGTTTGCAATGTGTATTTGAAATAGACGAAGATTGTAAGATATTTGTTGTTCAACTCATTTGATGGCCTACAAACATTAAATAATTATTAATAATAATATACATTTTTTCATGAATTGCGTTGCATTATCTCAAACAGAATATGACCTTTAAAATTACCCTTCATAAAACATGTCTGTTTGAAAAGATTTCCTTTTGTAGTTTACATTTAAAATTGGGATAACCTGTGTGCAAGTGTTATGTAATGTATACATGTAGCGTCTTACGAACACATTATTTTATTCACACTGCATTGATAGTATGGCACTATTCGTATCTGTTTTGTCAGTCTCTGTGTGTGTAATACATAATGATGAAAGTACGAACTTACCTTACACACCCATAACGGAACTAACTGTATATAACAGTGTTGACTGTATAGCTAATCTCAACTTGTACATGCCATTTTGAAATGGTCACCTATTCTCCGTTTATAAAAACATGGACACGGACACTCACCTACACCAACTTTCCTTCTACACCTCCTGCCTCTGAATCCACGTCGACATAAACATTTCCATTTCAAGGGTCCAATCTGCTTGCAAGTGCCCCCATTGCGGCAACGTCTTTTATGACACCGACCTTGGCGAAAACAAGAGCAAAAGGTGCTTACTTTACAGATTGTGTTGATTCAACTTATAACATACTGCAGGTCCATAATATCAGTCACGGGCATGTTCTTGCTCACTGATAAATATCACCTTGGCTTGGGCACTGACGTCTTTGTCTAGTAGTTGAGATGCACGTAAAGAGCAATATTTAGAGTTCCTTCAATAATCATTTCAACATATTTTAATGACCACAGTGTAAAACAGTGGATTCCATCTCCTTAGGAAACATCTCCATTTATTACCGTTAGGTTTGCATGTTCAACTTCTGTTTGGTAGTATATATTGGTGTGAACACTGACGTGTGCGTGTGTGCGTGTGCGTTCGCGTGTATGTGTGTGTGTGCGCGCGTGTGTGTTTGTGTGTGTGTGTGTGGTTGTTGAGAAACATGTTAAATGGACTTTTTTTGATTTCCCATTACCAATTATTACAAATCTTTTCATGACAACATTGATAACTATAATGAAAAAGGCAGCGTGTGTACATCCCTTTGGAAAGTACAACTAACCCACATTACAAAGGACGGCAAGACATGTTTCCTTGTTTGCAATGTGTATTTGAAATAGACGAAGATTGTAAGATATTTGTTGTTCAACTCATTTGATGGCCTACAAACATTAAATAATTATTAATAATAATATACATTTTTTCATGAATTGCGTTGCATTATCTCAAACAGAATATGACCTTTAAAATTACCCTTCATAAAACATGTCTGTTTGAAAAGATTTCCTTTTGTAGTTTACATTTAAAATTGGGATAACCTGTGTGCAAGTGTTATGTAATGTATACATGTAGCGTCTTACGAACACATTATTTTATTCACACTGCATTGATAGTATGGCACTATTCGTATCTGTTTTGTCAGTCTCTGTGTGTGTAATACATAATGATGAAAGTACGAACTTACCTTACACAACCATAACGGAACTAACTGTATATAACAGTGTTGACTGTATAGCTAATCTCAACTTGTACATGCCATTTTGAAATGGTCACCTATTCTCCGTTTATAAAAACATGGACACGGACACTCACCTACACCAACTTTCCTTCTACACCTCCTGCCTCTGAATCCACGTCGACATAAACATTTCCATTTCAAGGGTCCAATCTGCTTGCAAGTGCCCCCATTGCGGCAACGTCTTTTATGACACCGACCTTGGCGAAAACAAGAGCAAAAGGTGCTTACTTTACAGATTGTGTTGATTCAACTTATAACATACTGCAGGTCCATAATATCAGTCACGGGCATGTTCTTGCTCACTGATAAATATCACCTTGGCTTGGGCACTTACGTCTTTGTCTAGTAGTTGAGATGCACGTAAAGAGCAATATTTAGAGTTCCTTCAATAATCATTTCAACATATTTTAATGACCACAGTGTAAAACAGTGGATTCCATCTCCTTAGGAAACATCTCCATTTATTACCGTTAGGTTTGCATGTTCAACTTCTGTTTGGTAGTATATATTGGTGTGAACACTGACGTGTGCGTGTGTGCGTGTGCGTTCGCGTGTATGTGTGTGTGTGCGCGCGTGTGTGTTTGTGTGTGTGTGTGTGGTTGTTGAGAAACATGTTAAATGGACTTTTTTTGATTTCCCATTACCAATTATTACAAATCTTTTCATGACAACATTGATAACTATAATGAAAAAGGCAGCGTGTGTACATCCCTTTGGAAAGTACAACTAACCCACATTACAAAGGACGGCAAGACATGTTTCCTTGTTTGCAATGTGTATTTGAAATAGACGAAGATTGTAAGATATTTGTTGTTCAACTCATTTGATGGCCTACAAACATTAAATAATTATTAATAATAATATACATTTTTTCATGAATTGCGTTGCATTATCTCAAACAGAATATGACCTTTAAAATTACCCTTCATAAAACATGTCTGTTTGAAAAGATTTCCTTTTGTAGTTTACATTTAAAATTGGGATAACCTGTGTGCAAGTGTTATGTAATGTATACATGTAGCGTCTTACGAACACATTATTTTATTCACACTGCATTGATAGTATGGCACTATTCGTATCTGTTCTGTCAGTCTCTGTGTGTGTAATACATAATGATGAAAGTACGAACTTACCTTACACAACCATAACGGAACTAACTGTATATAACAGTGTTGACTGTATAGCTAATCTCAACTTGTACATGCCATTTTGAAATGGTCACCTATTCTCCGTTTATAAAAACATGGACACGGACACTCACCTACACCAACTTTCCTTCTACACCTCCTGCCTCTGAATCCACGTCGACATAAACATTTCCATTTCAAGGGTCCAATCTGCTTGCAAGTGCCCCCATTGCGGCAACGTCTTTTATGACACCGACCTTGGCGAAAACAAGAGCAAAAGGTGCTTACTTTACAGATTGTGTTGATTCAACTTATAACATACTGCAGGTCCATAATATCAGTCACGGGCATGTTCTTGCTCACTGATAAATATCACCTTGGCTTGGGCACTGACGTCTTTGTCTAGTAGTTGAGATGCACGTAAAGAGCAATATTTAGAGTTCCTTCAATAATCATTTCAACATATTTTAATGACCACAGTGTAAAACAGTGGATTCCATCTCCTTAGGAAACATCTCCATTTATTACCGTTAGGTTTGCATGTTCAACTTCTGTTTGGTAGTATATATTGGTGTGAACACTGACGTGTGCGTGTGTGCGTGTGCGTTCGCGTGTATGTGTGTGTGTGCGCGCGTGTGTGTTTGTGTGTGTGTGTGTGGTTGTTGAGAAACATGTTAAATGGACTTTTTTTGATTTCCCATTACCAATTATTACAAATCTTTTCATGACAACATTGATAACTATAATGAAAAAGGCAGCGTGTGTACATCCCTTTGGAAAGTACAACTAACCCACATTACAAAGGACGGCAAGACATGTTTCCTTGTTTGCAATGTGTATTTGAAATAGACGAAGATTGTAAGATATTTGTTGTTCAACTCATTTGATGGCCTACAAACATTAAATAATTATTAATAATAATATACATTTTTTCATGAATTGCGTTGCATTATCTCAAACAGAATATGACCTTTAAAATTACCCTTCATAAAACATGTCTGTTTGAAAAGATTTCCTTTTGTAGTTTACATTTAAAATTGGGATAACCTGTGTGCAAGTGTTATGTAATGTATACATGTAGCGTCTTACGAACACATTATTTTATTCACACTGCATTGATAGTATGGCACTATTCGTATCTGTTTTGTCAGTCTCTGTGTGTGTAATACATAATGATGAAAGTACGAACTTACCTTACACAACCATAACGGAACTAACTGTATATAACAGTGTTGACTGTATAGCTAATCTCAACTTGTACATGCCATTTTGAAATGGTCACCTATTCTCCGTTTATAAAAACATGGACACGGACACTCACCTACACCAACTTTCCTTCTACACCTCCTGCCTCTGAATCCACGTCGACATAAACATTTCCATTTCAAGGGTCCAATCTGCTTGCAAGTGCCCCCATTGCGGCAACGTCTTTTATGACACCGACCTTGGCGAAAACAAGAGCAAAAGGTGCTTACTTTACAGATTGTGTTGATTCAACTTATAACATACTGCAGGTCCATAATATCAGTCACGGGCATGTTCTTGCTCACTGATAAATATCACCTTGGCTTGGGCACTGACGTCTTTGTCTAGTAGTTGAGATGCACGTAAAGAGCAATATTTAGAGTTCCTTCAATAATCATTTCAACATATTTTAATGACCACAGTGTAAAACAGTGGATTCCATCTCCTTAGGAAACATCTCCATTTATTACCGTTAGGTTTGCATGTTCAACTTCTGTTTGGTAGTATATATTGGTGTGAACACTGACGTGTGCGTGTGTGCGTGTGCGTTCGCGTGTATGTGTGTGTGTGCGCGCGTGTGTGTTTGTGTGTGTGTGTGTGGTTGTTGAGAAACATGTTAAATGGACTTTTTTTGATTTCCCATTACCAATTATTACAAATCTTTTCATGACAACATTGATAACTATAATGAAAAAGGCAGCGTGTGTACATCCCTTTGGAAAGTACAACTAACCCACATTACAAAGGACGGCAAGACATGTTTCCTTGTTTGCAATGTGTATTTGAAATAGACGAAGATTGTAAGATATTTGTTGTTCAACTCATTTGATGGCCTACAAACATTAAATAATTATTAATAATAATATACATTTTTTCATGAATTGCGTTGCATTATCTCAAACAGAATATGACCTTTAAAATTACCCTTCATAAAACATGTCTGTTTGAAAAGATTTCCTTTTGTAGTTTACATTTAAAATTGGGATAACCTGTGTGCAAGTGTTATGTAATGTATACATGTAGCATCTTACGAACACATTATTTTATTCACACTGCATTGATAGTATGGCACTATTCGTATCTGTTTTGTCAGTCTCTGTGTGTGTAATACATAATGATGAAAGTACGAACTTACCTTACACAACCATAACGGAACTAACTGTATATAACAGTGTTGACTGTATAGCTAATCTCAACTTGTACATGCCATTTTGAAATGGTCACCTATTCTCCGTTTATAAAAACATGGACACGGACACTCACCTACACCAACTTTCCTTCTACACCTCCTGCCTCTGAATCCACGTCGACATAAACATTTCCATTTCAAGGGTCCAATCTGCTTGCAAGTGCCCCCATTGCGGCAACGTCTTTTATGACACCGACCTTGGCGAAAACAAGAGCAAAAGGTGCTTACTTTACAGATTGTGTTGATTCAACTTATAACATACTGCAGGTCCATAATATCAGTCACGGGCATGTTCTTGCTCACTGATAAATATCACCTTGGCTTGGGCACTGACGTCTTTGTCTAGTAGTTGAGATGCACGTAAAGAGCAATATTTAGAGTTCCTTCAATAATCATTTCAACATATTTTAATGACCACAGTGTAAAACAGTGGATTCCATCTCCTTAGGAAACATCTCCATTTATTACCGTTAGGTTTGCATGTTCAACTTCTGTTTGGTAGTATATATTGGTGTGAACACTGACGTGTGCGTGTGTGCGTGTGCGTTCGCGTGTATGTGTGTGTGTGCGCGCGTGTGTGTTTGTGTGTGTGTGTGTGGTTGTTGAGAAACATGTTAAACGGACTTTTTTTGATTTCCCATTACCAATTATTACAAATCTTTTCATGACAACATTGATAACTATAATGAAAAAGGCAGCGTGTGTACATCCCTTTGGAAAGTACAACTAACCCACATTACAAAGGACGGCAAGACATGTTTCCTTGTTTGCAATGTGTATTTGAAATAGACGAAGATTGTAAGATATTTGTTGTTCAACTCATTTGATGGCCTACAAACATTAAATAATTATTAATAATAATATACATTTTTTCATGAATTGCGTTGCATTATCTCAAACAGAATATGACCTTTAAAATTACCCTTCATAAAACATGTCTGTTTGAAAAGATTTCCTTTTGTAGTTTACATTTAAAATTGGGATAACCTGTGTGCAAGTGTTATGTAATGTATACATGTAGCGTCTTACGAACACATTATTTTATTCACACTGCATTGATAGTATGGCACTATTCGTATCTGTTTTGTCAGTCTCTGTGTGTGTAATACATAATGATGAAAGTACGAACTTACCTTACACAACCATAACGGAACTAACTGTATATAACAGTGTTGACTGTATAGCTAATCTCAACTTGTACATGCCATTTTGAAATGGTCACCTATTCTCCGTTTATAAAAACATGGACACGGACACTCACCTACACCAACTTTCCTTCTACACCTCCTGCCTCTGAATCCACGTCGACATAAACATTTCCATTTCAAGGGTCCAATCTGCTTGCAAGTGCCCCCATTGCGGCAACGTCTTTTATGACACCGACCTTGGCGAAAACAAGAGCAAAAGGTGCTTACTTTACAGATTGTGTTGATTCAACTTATAACATACTGCAGGTCCATAATATCAGTCACGGGCATGTTCTTGCTCACTGATAAATATCACCTTGGCTTGGGCACTGACGTCTTTGTCTAGTAGTTGAGATGCACGTAAAGAGCAATATTTAGAGTTCCTTCAATAATCATTTCAACATATTTTAATGACCACAGTGTAAAACAGTGGATTCCATCTCCTTAGGAAACATCTCCATTTATTACCGTTAGGTTTGCATGTTCAACTTCTGTTTGGTAGTATATATTGGTGTGAACACTGACGTGTGCGTGTGTGCGTGTGCGTTCGCGTGTATGTGTGTGTGTGTGCGCGTGTGTGTTTGTGTGTGTGTGTGTGGTTGTTGAGAAACATGTTAAATGGACTTTTTTTGATTTCCCATTACCAATTATTACAAATCTTTTCATGACAACATTGATAACTATAATGAAAAAGGCAGCGTGTGTACATCCCTTTGGAAAGTACAACTAACCCACATTACAAAGGACGGCAAGACATGTTTCCTTGTTTGCAATGTGTATTTGAAATAGACGAAGATTGTAAGATATTTGTTGTTCAACTCATTTGATGGCCTACAAACATTAAATAATTATTAATAATAATATACATTTTTTCATGAATTGCGTTGCATTATCTCAAACAGAATATGACCTTTAAAATTACCCTTCATAAAACATGTCTGTTTGAAAAGATTTCCTTTTGTAGTTTACATTTAAAATTGGGATAACCTGTGTGCAAGTGTTATGTAATGTATACATGTAGCGTCTTACGAACACATTATTTTATTCACACTGCATTGATAGTATGGCACTATTCGTATCTGTTTTGTCAGTCTCTGTGTGTATAATACATAATGATGAAAGTACGAACTTACCTTACACAACCATAACGGAACTAACTGTATATAACAGTGTTGACTGTATAGCTAATCTCAACTTGTACATGCCATTTTGAAATGGTCACCTATTCTCCGTTTATAAAAACATGGACACGGACACTCACCTACACCAACTTTCCTTCTACACCTCCTGCCTCTGAATCCACGTCGACATAAACATTTCCATTTCAAGGGTCCAATCTGCTTGCAAGTGCCCCCATTGCGGCAACGTCTTTTATGACACCGACCTTGGCGAAAACAAGAGCAAAAGGTGCTTACTTTACAGATTGTGTTGATTCAACTTATAACATACTGCAGGTCCATAATATCAGTCACGGGCATGTTCTTGCTCACTGATAAATATCACCTTGGCTTGGGCACTGACGTCTTTGTCTAGTAGTTGAGATGCACGTAAAGAGCAATATTTAGAGTTCCTTCAATAATCATTTCAACATATTTTAATGACCACAGTGTAAAACAGTGGATTCCATCTCCTTAGGAAACATCTCCATTTATTACCGTTAGGTTTGCATGTTCAACTTCTGTTTGGTAGTATATATTGGTGTGAACACTGACGTGTGCGTGTGTGCGTGTGCGTTCGCGTGTATGTGTGTGTGTGCGCGCGTGTGTGTTTGTGTGTGTGTGTGTGGTTGTTGAGAAACATGTTAAATGGACTTTTTTTGATTTCCCATTACCAATTATTACAAATCTTTTCATGACAACATTGATAACTATAATGAAAAAGGCAGCGTGTGTACATCCCTTTGGAAAGTACAACTAACCCACATTACAAAGGACGGCAAGACATGTTTCCTTGTTTGCAATGTGTATTTGAAATAGACGAAGATTGTAAGATATTTGTTGTTCAACTCATTTGATGGCCTACAAACATTAAATAATTATTAATAATAATATACATTTTTTCATGAATTGCGTTGCATTATCTCAAACAGAATATGACCTTTAAAATTACCCTTCATAAAACATGTCTGTTTGAAAAGATTTCCTTTTGTAGTTTACATTTAAAATTGGGATAACCTGTGTGCAAGTGTTATGTAATGTATACATGTAGCGTCTTACGAACACATTATTTTATTCACACTGCATTGATAGTATGGCACTATTCGTATCTGTTTTGTCAGTCTCTGTGTGTGTAATACATAATGATGAAAGTACGAACTTACCTTACACAACCATAACGGAACTAACTGTATATAACAGTGTTGACTGTATAGCTAATCTCAACTTGTACATGCCATTTTGAAATGGTCACCTATTCTCCGTTTATAAAAACATGGACACAGACACTCACCTACACCAACTTTCCTTCTACACCTCCTGCCTCTGAATCCACGTCGACATAAACATTTCCATTTCAAGGGTCCAATCTGCTTGCAAGTGCCCCCATTGCGGCAACGTCTTTTATGACACCGACCTTGGCGAAAACAAGAGCAAAAGGTGCTTACTTTACAGATTGTGTTGATTCAACTTATAACATACTGCAGGTCCATAATATCAGTCACGGGCATGTTCTTGCTCACTGATAAATATCACCTTGGCTTGGGCACTGACGTCTTTGTCTAGTAGTTGAGATGCACGTAAAGAGCAATATTTAGAGTTCCTTCAATAATCATTTCAACATATTTTAATGACCACAGTGTAAAACAGTGGATTCCATCTCCTTAGGAAACATCTCCATTTATTACCGTTAGGTTTGCATGTTCAACTTCTGTTTGGTAGTATATATTGGTGTGAACACTGACGTGTGCGTGTGTGCGTGTGCGTTCGCGTGTATGTGTGTGTGTGCGCGCGTGTGTGTTTGTGTGTGTGTGTGTGGTTGTTGAGAAACATGTTAAATGGACTTTTTTTTATTTCCCATTACCAATTATTACAAATCTTTTCATGACAACATTGATAACTATAATGAAAAAGGCAGCGTGTGTACATCCCTTTGGAAAGTACAACTAACCCACATTACAAAGGACGGCAAGACATGTTTCCTTGTTTGCAATGTGTATTTGAAATAGACGAAGATTGTAAGATATTTGTTGTTCAACTCATTTGATGGCCTACAAACATTAAATAATTATTAATAATAATATACATTTTTTCATGAATTGCGTTGCATTATCTCAAACAGAATATGACCTTTAAAATTACCCTTCATAAAACATGTCTGTTTGAAAAGATTTCCTTTTGTAGTTTACATTTAAAATTGGGATAACCTGTGTGCAAGTGTTATGTAATGTATACATGTAGCGTCTTACGAACACATTATTTTATTCACACTGCATTGATAGTATGGCACTATTCGTATCTGTTTTGTCAGTCTCTGTGTGTGTAATACATAATGATGAAAGTACGAACTTACCTTACACAACCATAACGGAACTAACTGTATATAACAGTGTTGACTGTATAGCTAATCTCAACTTGTACATGCCATTTTGAAATGGTCACCTATTCTCCGTTTATAAAAACATGGACACGGACACTCACCTACACCAACTTTCCTTCTACACCTCCTGCCTCTGAATCCACGTCGACATAAACATTTCCATTTCAAGGGTCCAATCTGCTTGCAAGTGCCCCCATTGCGGCAACGTCTTTTATGACACCGACCTTGGCGAAAACAAGAGCAAAAGGTGCTTACTTTACAGATTGTGTTGATTCAACTTATAACATACTGCAGGTCCATAATATCAGTCACGGGCATGTTCTTGCTCACTGATAAATATCACCTTGGCTTGGGCACTGACGTCTTTGTCTAGTAGTTGAGATGCACGTAAAGAGCAATATTTAGAGTTCCTTCAATAATCATTTCAACATATTTTAATGACCACAGTGTAAAACAGTGGATTCCATCTCCTTAGGAAACATCTCCATTTATTACCGTTAGGTTTGCATGTTCAACTTCTGTTTGGTAGTATATATTGGTGTGAACACTGACGTGTGCGTGTGTGCGTGTGCGTTCGCGTGTATGTGTGTGTGTGCGCGCGTGTGTGTTTGTGTGTGTGTGTGTGGTTGTTGAGAAACATGTTAAATGGACTTTTTTTTATTTCCCATTACCAATTATTACAAATCTTTTCATGACAACATTGATAACTATAATGAAAAAGGCAGCGTGTGTACATCCCTTTGGAAAGTACAACTAACCCACATTACAAAGGACGGCAAGACATGTTTCCTTGTTTGCAATGTGTATTTGAAATAGACGAAGATTGTAAGATATTTGTTGTTCAACTCATTTGATGGCCTACAAACATTAAATACTTATTAATAATAATATACATATTTACATAATTACATTGGGGTTTCTGGTTGTTTGCAGTGTGGGCATGCGCAGTTACCTGTAGTGTGTTTTTTTAAATTGTTTTAGGTGGTTATTTAGGTTGGTGTGTCCTGTTTGGAGTTTAGTGATTACTCTGTCGATTTTCTTTGATGGATGGAGAATTTTTGGTTTGGTTAGTGGTTTGCTGAGCACAATTTTGATTTGGCTATTTGAGTTTAGATATAGGTTATGCCATTTTTTTGTGATTTTTTGCTTGTTTACACTTTTAATTTCTGATTTTGAGATGGTAAAGTTTAAGCTTATTTCTGGGATTTTGAGGGATAGTTTAGCTGCTTTATCGGCGTTTTCATTACCGTATATTCCTACGTGGGCGGGTATCCACAAGAAGGTTATTTGTTTGCCTGCCCTAGTTAGGTCGTTGGAGCTTTTAAGTATTTAATTTATTATTTTAGGTGGGTTTTTGGTATTTTTGTTTTGGAGGGCTTGCAGTCCACTTAGGGAGTCGGTAAGTATAAGGATTTTTTTTTGTGGTTTTTGGATTCTTGATTGTGGAGGGCTGAGGCCATGCCCATTAGTTCTGCCGTGAATATTGATTCGGTTGTTTAGGAGTCGGAAGGATTGTGTGGTTTTAGTTGGTTGTGTGGTATGGACTCCGAAACCTGTGTGTTTGGAGGTCGGATCTGAGGATCCGTCCGTGTAAATGTGACACCAATTTGGCCAATTTTCGTGTATGTATGCTAGTGTGGTAGTTTTAGCTATGTTTGGGTCGGTTTGTTTATTTATTTGGCTAGCTAGTGTTGTGTCTATTTTGGGTATTTTAAGTTTAGAGGTGAAGATATTTGATTGTTTGCAGTTTTGTTTAAGATTTTTAATTTGGTGTTCATTTAGGTAGTTTGTTATTCTTTGGGATATTGGGGTAAGTAAGGGGTGTTCACGAGCTAGAGCTTGGTTTTTGGGGCTGATGTTTTGGTTTATTAAGTTTTGGATGAGAGGGTTTGATTGGGACGCGGCCCAGAAATTTAAGCTTAGCTGTTCCCTGCGTAGACTTAGTGGCATTTCTCCTGTTAAGGCCTGAAGTGAGGTGTAGGAGGTGCCATGTTGGGTGCGTGTGATTCGTTTGAGAGCCTGATATTGTATTGAGTCAAGTTTTTTAGATAGAGAGTTGTTTAGGGTGTTGTATATGGCGCAGCCGTAGTCTAGTTTTGATCTAATTAGTGATATGTAGAGAGAGAGGAGGGTATCTTTGGAGGCTCCCCAGTTAGAGCCAGTTAGGCATCTTAGGGTGTTTAGGTCGTTACTGCATTTAGTTGTTAGGTTTTGGATGTGAGCATCCCAGGTGAGATGTTCATCGAAAATAAGTCCTAAGAATTTGGTTTGTTTTTGAAATTTGATTGTTTGATTGTTTAGCTGGAGGATTGGGGAGGCGGGTTTCATGTTTTTATGTTTGAATACTATTCCTGTTGTTTTTTCTGAGTTAAGGGAGAAGCCCCATTTGTCAGCCCATTGTTGTATTTTATTAAGAGATTTTTGGAGTACATTTTGGACCATTTTCATGCTTTTAGTGCGGATCCAGATGGCTTCATCATCCGCGAATTTTGATGTGTTTACTTTAGGGGATAGGCCCTCGAATAGATCGTTTATCATTATATTGAAGAGGGTGGGGCTGAGGATACTGCCCTGTGGAGTGCCATTTTCTAGGGGACATTGGTCCGATAGAGTTTGGTCTATACCCACGGTTATTTTACGATTGTTTAGGAAGTCCTGTATGTAGTTTATTATCTGACCTTTGAGTCCTATTTTTTAAAGTTTTTGTATTAGCCCATCGTGCCATACCATGTCGAAAGCTTTAGAGAAGTCTAAGAAGATGCCTGTGTATATTGCTTATTTAGTTGTCCTGTCTTTATATCCTGTTCTAGTCGGGAGAGGTTATCTAGGGTTGAGCGGCCAGGAGTGAAACCGCTTTGATCTGGGTTTATGATGTTATTTTGGGTTAAGTAATGTTGTAATCTATTTTTAGCCATTGATTCCATTACTTTACATTAGTTTGAAGTTAGGGATATTGGTCTATATGAGTTGATTAGCTGGTTTATTAGGTTTAGGGATTGGTATGACTAGGGCCTGTTTCCAGGGAGTAGGAACCTGTCCGTTTAGGTAGATGAGATTGTATAGTTTGAGTAGTGCCTGGTGTAGTTTTAGGGGGAGTTTTTTAATTATTTGGTAAGATGTTAGGTCTAATCCTGGGGCTGTGCCCTTTTTCCTGTTTTGGATAACGTAGAGGAGCTCCTCCATTGTGTAGGGTTGATTTATTTCTAGATTGTTATTGTTTGGTTCTTTTGTGGGTTTGTTTTCTGTTTTAAGTTTATCTTGGATTTTTTGACTGAAGTTGGTGTTACTGCTAACGGCCGAAAAGTGGTTGGCGAGATTACTTGCTTTCTTGGCGGGGTTGGTTGAGTTGTCAATGTTAGGAGTTTTTTTATGTCGTTTTAAGCCTCTGATGGCGTGGATTTTGCGCCAGACCATTCTGGCATCTGTACGGTTATTTATACCTTCGCAGAATTTTTTCCAGTCTCTACTTTTGGCTATTTGGACTAGTTTTTGAACCTGGTGGTTTTGTTCGTGGGCTATGTTTAAATATTTGTAGTCGCGTTTTGCTTTATTGAAGGCTGATTTACGTTTTCGTCTAGTCTGTTCTATTTCCTCTTTCCACCATGGTACCGTCGGTTTGCCTGTCTTAGATGTTTTGAAGGGGATGGAGGTTTTGGCTGCGTTTATTATATAGTCTGTTAGGTTTTTACAATAGGTTTCTGGATCATTATTTTCTATTTCGTTTAAGTTAGCTTCGTTGCAGATATCTTGGAATTGGTCCCAGTTAGCTATATTGTAATGGAATTTTGGTTCTTGGTTTTCTGTTTGGATTGGTACGTTTGTATTTCCTATGGTTATGTTTATGGGGAAGTGGTCACTACCTAGCGGGACGTCGTGCACTTCCCATTGAGTACTTTGGGCTAGATCTGCGGTGCATATGGTTAGGTCGATAGCCGACATTTTTTGGTTTATCTTATCGTACCTCGTGGGTTGGTTGCTATTAAGGAGTACTAGGTCGTTTGTTTCTATCTATTCGGAGATTAATTTGCCATGATTATCTATTTTATCATCTATGCTCCATGTAGGATGGTGAGCGTTAAAGTCTCCTAGGAATATAGTAGATTTATCGCTTATTTGGAGTAGTTTGTTTAGATCCTCAGGTTGGACTTTTTGTTCCGCCCAGTGGTAAATATTTATGATGTTTATGTTTCGGTTATTTAATGTGATTTTAATGCCGTTGGCTTCTAGGTTTGGCGTGTCTATTTTTATTTCTTCGTAATTTATATCTTCCCTGATAAATATGATTAGTCCTCCTGCGGCTCTTCTTGTTTTCGGTTTAGCTCTGTCAGTTCTAACTGAGTTGTAGTTAGGTAGTGTGAATTTGGATTTTTTTTGAGAATTTGGTTTCCTGTATACAAGCAATGTGAGGGCCTTTATTTAGTTTAAATTTAGTTTTTAGTTCATGGCCGTAGGAGGTGAGTCCGTTGGCGTTCCACTGAAAAATATTTAGTCCTTCCATTATTGGGTTCGGGTGATTGGTGATTTAGTTTTTACGTTTTTAGTTTATTCGGTGAGTTCTTTTAGATGGAGGTTAAAGAGGAAGAGGGGAAGATCGGTTAATTTTAGATTGAAAGCTACTTTGTGGAAGGATTTCATGCTAGCTTTTGGTGAGTTTTGACTATGCATGTATGCCAGGAGTAAGGTGATGTTATTTAAGTTTTGGGTGTTGGCTGGTTGGGGAGTTTGGTTTGTTTTAGTTGGAGTAGTGTCTATTGTTTCTTTAGTAGTGGAGAAATCTTCGTCATCGGTTAGATTAGGTTTAGCTGATTGATTTTCCATGGGGGAGGCATGTGATGTGGAGGATCGTGAAGGTGTTTGCGGGATGGATGTAGCTGATGATTTCTTAGTGTTTGTGTTTTGTTGTTGTGCTTGCTTGTGGGAGAGTGTTGTTGCCATATTGGCTGTAGGGTGCTTGGATGAGGGTCGTGTTGTGGTGGTCATTTTGAGGTTTGTTTTGCATGCGGGGGTTGATGTTTTGGCTATGTGAGATGTGGGAGGGTTCGTGGTTGGTTGAGTGGCTGCTTGTGTGTGTGAGGTGGGTGCGGTTTCTCGGTAGGGGCCCAAGACAGAGCTGTCGGTTATGGGTGTGGTGTTTGTTTGTGGGATGGTGTTTGGGTGTGGTGTAGGGAGGAGTGGTTTAGATGCAGGTGTAGCAAATTTTCGTGTTTGAATTTTAGCCGTGTCT